GGCTCGCCCGGCGCATACCTCGTCGACATCTTCCCATCACTGAAGTATCTGCCAGAGTGGCTGGCGCCCTGGAAGAAGTACCTCCGAGCCAGGAGGCGCCGCGACGAGGATTTCTTCCAGGAGCTGATCGACCGCAGTAAAGCACCATCGTGGGCGAGGACATGGCTCGATACCCAAGATCAGTGGGGCCTCACGCGGCGGGAGGCAAACTGGATGCTGGGATCCGTCTTCCAGGCTGCGGGTACGACGTCCGGGTCGGCTCTTGCGTCGTTTATCCTCTGCGTTGTGCGGAATCCTGGGTGGTTCGAGAGGCTTCAGGCCGAAGTCGACTCTGTTGTTGGACCGGACAGATTGCCTACTTTTGAGGACATGCCGCGGCTTCCGCTTGCGAGGGCGTGCGTGAAGGAAACGCTGCGGTACTACCCGATCACGGCCGGTGGTTTTCCTCACCGTCTGACGGAAGACGACACTTACAACGGGTTTTACTTGAAGAAGGGGACCGTGGTGCATGCGGTGCAGTGGGCCATTCAACGCGACCCGGCAACTTATCCCGATCCTGAAGCATTCAACCCCGACCGCTGGTTGGATCCCAAATACCCGACATATAAGGAACCTCTCACCGTCTATCCAAACTTGCAGCAGTTCACGGCGTTTGGCCACGGCCGTCGGATTTGCCAGGGGATTAATATTGCTGAACGGAGTCTCAACCTCAAGATCGCACTGCTTGCTTGGGCTTGTAACGTTTCCCGGGCTACGGATGGTAATGGAAAAGAGATCATACCGCCACTGTATGACTTTGCTGCGGGTTTCAATGTGCAGCCAAAAGAGTTTGATTTCGACCTGCAGCCAAGAAGTCAACAGCGAGTAGACTTATTGGAGAGCGTATATGAGTACACGCTGAGGGAGGATCCGTTGTTGTCATAGATATCATCGAATGGTAATGATTAATGCTGAGGCGTAATTGAATGCATCAACGCTTGGTTATCTCACAATCTGATCAAATTTGCCTTTACTGTTTGTGTCGATGGCAAAAAGTTTTCAGCCAGGCCACTCGTCGTCGCAAATGCTAGAATTATTTCGACACACCATGTAGAAGTCAAAGGAATGAGTTGAGGTGATGAAAGACATCTTTTAAATGGCAAGATTCTGGACATGTAATAACGCAAATAGGCTTAGCGAATGTCTTGCCTTCTCTTAGTTCGTCACGAATGGTCTTTTCTGCTAACCACTAATGGATGTAAGGCACTCGAGACACATTACATCTCACAGCCGTTATGATTTCATAGCAACAGTCAATTCCTCGCAAAGTATAATGTAGTACTTTTATCACATAATCATCATCTCAACACGGCCGGCCCAATCCAGACAAATGACAAAAGCAAAAGCTCTACACTGCAGCGAGGCAACAAGTTCAGTCACCTCGTTTCGTCACCCTCTGAGCGCGAACATGGAGGCAGTCCCCTCATCCACATCCAGCGCCAACTCCCAGAGACTCGACCCCTATAATCATCACCGGAGTCAAATCATTCGCAACTGAACCCGTGGCCGCAACATCATTCAGCCTTCTCTTGACCTCTATGCCAAGACTCTGTATAGCCCTTAACAACGGCACAAAGTCCCGATCGTCCCTGGACCCTTTGAGCATCACCTCGCCAATCTCTTCTAACAGCTCAATGTCGTCATAGTGGCTCCTTACATCGACAGCCCGGAGAACGTGGTTCAAGAGGCAAGCGTACGAGACGTAGGCGCGGTAGATACCTAGAATCACACACATGGTCTCCGGGTACGGATTATGAACTAGGATAGCACGCACGACTCTCAACATGCCCCTTGAGGCCTCGACGGCTAGTGGGGAGTCGGGTATGTCCGCGTCGCAGGACACGGGACGCGGCGAATTAGAAGTGAGGACGGCGAGCTTGCGCAGGATAAAGATGATGTAGGTGTAACCGGTCATGGCTACGTCGCCGAGCAGCCAGCCGTCGGCTTTTGCGCCTGTTGCCACGGTTCGTTGGATCCAGTCTTCCTATTTGAGGGATCAGTAAGCTTGCAATGACCACTTCCCGAAAGGAGTCATACGATTTGGTATTCATCAAAGAGCTGGCCAATTTCTCGACAGTACTCCTCAGCTTTGGGCCGAATGGTATCCTCGTTGCAATCCGGGGACTCAAGATCCTGGAAGAAGTGCGATAAAATGAACGTAAGTCTTGAGCCCATTAGGAACGTCACCGTCGGAACGGCATTGAGGTCTGGCGGCGCGCTACCAGACGACAGCCAAGGTAAGTTGACCTTCCACGTATTCATGCTGTCTGTGATGGCTGGCGGGCGATTGAACAGCAACCTGAAGAAGAAGTCAATCTGGATTAGCTCCCAGAAGCCCTTCCGATCTGCATCGAGTTTAGTCTCGTCCTGGCCGATCGCCGCGGTGTAGGCGTCAAGGTTGTGTAGGTTAAGTGCTTGCGCGTACTCGCAGGCGTAGGTGTACATTCTCCATGCCAGTTCCTCATCGAAGCACTCGGCTGCAGTGCGGCACTGTTGTCCCGGAATGATAATTAGTCTGGGACAAGCTTGCTAAATTGAGGCGAGGGAGCACTGCCTACCATGGTGAGAGCGGCAATAAGGTCGGTCGTGGACCCTGTTGCCTCGCGTTGCCAAAGTGGTAGAGTTCGAAGACAGCATATATAGAGCGTCCGAATGTATCTCAGGCCTTCATCGGTGTCCTGCATCGTTGGGCCTAGACCACAACCGTGATACAGGACTCCATAGTAGACTACCAGGATAGCTGGGTCGAGATGGACATGCGGTAGGCCAAGGAGGTCCGGAATCATCTCTATGAGTTTTGGATTCACGAGACTGAGGAACATGTCTGTATGCATGTGCGTGAAGTAGTCTAGCAGTGGCGTTAGTAGAAGCCCGACGGGGTTTTCCTATGAGCACATTTGCTTTGACTTGGACAAAGAGAAGACTTACTTTTGATCCATTGCTTGGCCAACTCGGGAGGGATCTTGACGTTCTGAGTGATGACCGAAGCAGACACAGTCTGCAACCTCAATCGTTGCACTTGATCGACGGCATCCTTGAGAATAGCCGCGACATCGAGTTCAGGAATCGCGCTCGGTGTGGCGAATGACGTCCACGGCGAAGTCGCCTGCCCACCGGCAACACTCGAGGGAGCGGGAGAGGATATGTTGGATGGGGCGCTGTTGGAGCTTGAAGTACGTTGTCGGGGCGGCGGGGCGACGGCGGGCGGATCAGCAGCCACGGAAGCAGGGGGCCCGTCTCGGGATTCCGGATCTTGGTTTCCATTCGGGAGGGTGGTGCAGTGCTTCTCGACGCGCTGTAACCTTTCGAGTATGGTCGACAGGGCGTCATCCGTCGTCCTGGATTCGCCAAGGCTATGTCTTGAGCCAACGATTCTCTTACGGAAATCTCGTGCAGATTCGCGAGTGGAGGGGGGACACGGAGAGAGAGGGGGGGCGGAGGCTTACGATAGACGGTCCGTCAAGGTCCGAGTGACCTTTCTTTTGACTCTTTGAGGATAGATGCATTCTGTCTCGTGGGTTTTGCATCTTTCGCATGTTGGCATCCCACGACTACACCGGACCTGATGTCGTGGACAGAAACGTCAGTCAACCCCCTCTACTACCATAGTCAAAGAAACACGGCGACGACTAACCTTTCTGTGTTTGCATCTTTTGCACTATCCAAGCGAGATTTGCCAACCAAGTCAGCCATGAACAACGACAGGCGAAGGAGCCATTGCCTGAAAGCCAAGTCTGTAGGATCTGGAACCAGGTAGCGGACTATGGAGCTATAGCAACCTCCGTTGTACTCACCGATAGCGGATTCAACTGGGCGGAATGGTCAGGCATGATTACCTAAGTGGTCGAAGGGATCTCGGAGAGCGGAGAATTCAGTTTCTTGGTGGTGCAGCGAGCTGTGCTACAATAAGAGAGGGGGGGGCTTTGGAGGACAAATACACCATGCCAGGCCCGCGACGATCCCACCCGAGCCGTTATGATGCATCATGATCTCGATTCTTCGGGGGTCAAAAATTGGTTTGAGCTCGCAAAGTCTAATTAGGTGCCGTCTGGTTTGCTTGGCAAGGGGGCTGCTTGGGGTTGCTGGAGCTATCCGACGTGACGCACCGCAGCACAAACCTCACAAAGCTGAGTCGCGGGGGCCGCGGGCCACGTTCTGAAGGGGCCCGAGATCGCCGGACGCCCAGTCTGGAGCAGCAACAACAGATCTTCCGGCTTGTCTCTCTTCGTACTCTGTTCAATCAAAAGTTCTGCCCAGCTGGTTCCAGCTGGGCACGGTTTATACGTCTTAGTCCGCGGCAAGTTCCTTTGTTTAAGCTTCTTAAGCTTGGCGAGGACGTGGCTAGTAGATCAGATTATAAAGAAGTAAAAGCTCGATCGAGGCTTGTCGACCCCAACAGAAGTCTTGGCAAAGTCCGAAACCACGTCTCAGTTGAGCGCCATAGGGCTGAAGAAACCCCTAATCGCGGACATTCGGACTCTCATCGAACGAATATCCGCCAGTCCGGTCAATACTACTGACCAACAGCGTCAGCAACCAACGCAACTATGAATGATGATGAGATTTTTGGCAACTTGGCAATATGGGGCTCTTAGATGTTTTAATGCACAGAGATAGATACATATAATTGGCGTCTCGAAGTTGAGATGGCATGATGTTTTTCCAACTTCCGTTTCAGTCAACTCATCCCATTTCCTAAATTCCATCTTCCTAATAACTTCCACTTACACCAATTATCACTGCCTCAGACTTGAGTACATTTGGGTTATTCTCGTCGTCTGGTCTGAGTGACCGTCAAAGCGACAATGCGGTCTGATAGCGACACGGATAGTGGCACTCTGCCACCTCCATCGACTAACGAGAAGAAGGCTCTTCCGCCGAGCTCTGGGTCTTATTCCGCTGGCACAACCACCGAGAAAGAATGGACGAAGCATGAAGATGCTGCTGATCAGGAAACGCGAATGAACGACGAGGTTCTGCAGCTTGCTCGCATATACACGACGCAATCGAACGCCGCCCCTGGTTCTCTCTTTCCAGTCCCCGCCGAAGGCCCTTTGAACCCGAGCAGTCCCGACTTCAACGCAAGAAAGTGGGCAAAGGCGTTTTACAACATCCGTACCGACACCTCGGAGGGAAATCCACCAAAGACAACCGGAATCGCCTTCAAGAACCTCAATGTCTTTGGCTATGGCACATCCACCGACTACCAGAAGAGCGTTGGCAATGTCTTCCTCGAGGCGGCGAGCTTGGTGAAGAAGCTCACAGGTGCAAAAGAGCAACGCATTGATATCCTTCACGACCTTGAGGGCGTCGTCCATAGCGGCGAGATGCTTGCCGTCCTTGGCCCTCCCGGGTCTGGCTGCTCAACCCTGCTAAAGACGATCGCCGGTGACACGCACGGATTCTACATCAGTGACGACGCGACCATCAACTACCAGGGCATCCAGCCCAAGGACATGCGCACTGCTTTCAGGGGCGAGGCCATCTACACCGCCGAGGTCGACGAGCATTTTGCCCACTTGACGGTTGGAGACACCTTGTACTTTGCAGCCCGTGCCAGATGCCCAAAGAACATTCCCGAGGGCATATCCAGACGGGAGTACGCCGAGCATCTCCGCGATGTGACCATGGCCATGTTTGGCATCTCGCATACGAAGAACACCCGGGTCGGAGACGACTTCGTTCGTGGAGTCTCGGGAGGAGAGCGGAAGCGAGTCACCATCGCGGAGGCTGCCCTGAGTTACTCGCCATTGCAGTGCTGGGATAACAGTACGAGAGGTCTTGACAGCGCCAACGCCCTCGAGTTCTGCCGCACTTTGAGAACGCAAGCGGATACTATGGGCTGCACTTCGTGCGTTGCCATCTACCAAGCTTCCCAAGATGCCTACGATGTAAGTCATCGGGATTGATTATGCGAAACTAAGCTTTCAGACTAACAAACCCCAAGGTCTTTGACAAGGTCGTCGTCCTATATGAAGGCCGCCAAATATACTTCGGCAAGACCACCGAAGCCCAAGCTTACTTCGAGGGCTTGGGCTTCATCTGCCCAGAGCAACAAACAACAGCCGACTTCCTCACCTCAATGACCAGCCACCAGGAGCGCGTCATCCGCCCCGGCTGGGAGGGCAAGACACCGCGCAGCCCCGACGACTTTGCCCGCGCCTGGAAAGCGAGCCAGCAACGCGCCCGCCTCCTCGAGGACGTCGAAGACTACATCCAGCGCCACCCCTTTGGCGGCGAGCACTACCAAAAGTTCCTCGCATCCCGTCGAATCGACCAGTCCAAGTCCCAGCGTCAGAGCTCGCCGTTCACGCTCTCGTACATGGAGCAGATGCGCCTCACGCTCTGGCGGAGCTGGGTGATGCTCAAGGGCGACCCCAGCATCACGCTGACGATGCTCATCACCAACATCTTTGAGGGCTTGATTATTAGCAGTCTCTTCTACAACCTGCCTACCAATACGTCCAGCTTCTTCCGCCGCGGTATCCTGCTCTTCTTCACAGTCATCATCAATGCCTTTGGCAGCATCCTCGAAATCATGACGTTATACGCCAAGCGTAAGATTGTCGAGAAACACGCCCGCTACGCCTTGTATCACCCCAGTGCAGAAGCTCTCTCGGCCATGGTTGTCGATTTGCCCTACAAGATTGTCAATGCCATCCTGATGAATACCATTTTGTACTTCATGGGCAATCTCCGCCGCGAGCCGGGCGCCTTCTTCTTCTTCCTGCTCATCTCCTTCTCGATGACGTTAACAATGTCGATGATGTTCCGTCTCATCGGGTCCGTCACGAAGTCAGTCGCCCAAGCTCTGGCTCCGGCATCAATCATCCTGCTCCTCATCGCTCTGTACACTGGCTTCGCTATTCCGCCTCAGTATATGCAGGATTGGCTGGGTTGGGTCAGGTGGCTGAACCCGGTCTACTACGGTCTCGAGAGCGTCATGCTCAACAAGTTCATTGGCCGCGACTTCCGTTGCTCAACCTTCGTGCCCATGGGCCCTGGCTACGACTCCGTCGCCGCCAACGAAAGGGTCTGTTCTTCAGCAGGCTCCGTCCCGGGCCAGGACTTTGTCAGCGGCACGGCCTACCTCAGCACCTCATATGGCTTTGAGAACTCCCACCGGTGGAGGAATTTTGGTGTTTTGATTGCCTACATGATTCTCTTCATGGGTCTGCACCTGTTCGCTACCGAATACATCGCCTCTGAGCGCTCCAAGGGCGAGGTCTTGGTCTTCAGCCGCAAGGCCATGAGTAAGCGCCGCAAGCAAGGCGCCGTCGATGTTGAGACTGGTGCCCCCCCCGCCGCCGGTGCGCAGCATAGAAGCGAGGATGATTCTGAGGGAGTCGCGGGTATGGAGAAACAGACTTCGGTTTTCCATTGGAAGGATGTCTGCTATGATATCAAGATCAAGGGCGAGCCTCGACGGATTCTGGACCACGTAGACGGCTGGGTTAAGCCTGGAACTCTGACTGCACTTATGGTAAGTGTTACGACCTGGCGTATGATTCCAACTGTCAAGGAGACAGCAGCTGACATTACCAACAGGGCGTTTCTGGAGCTGGCAAGACCACCTTGCTCGACGTCCTCGCGACCCGCGTAACAATGGGCGTTATCTCCGGTGACATGCTAGTCAACGGCCAACCACGCGACGACTCCTTCCAGCGGAAAACGGGCTATGTCCAACAGCAAGATCTCCACCTCCATACCTCCACCGTCCGCGAAGCCCTCAACTTCAGCGCCATCCTCCGCCAGCCAGCCAACTACACCCGCAAGGAAAAGCTCGAGTACGTCGATACCGTCATTGGCCTCCTCGGCATGGAAGAATACTCCGACGCCGTCATCGGCGTGCCCGGCGAAGGCCTCAACGTCGAGCAAAGAAAGCGTCTCACCATTGGCGTCGAACTCGCCGCTCGCCCGCAGCTCCTCTTGTTCCTCGACGAGCCCACTTCCGGTCTCGACAGCCAGACCTCGTGGTCAATTTGCAACCTAATGGAGAAGCTTACCAAGAGCGGCCAGGCCATCTTGTGCACCATCCACCAGCCCTCGGCGATGCTCTTCCAGCGCTTCGACAGGCTGCTTCTGCTCGCCAGTGGCGGCCGTACCGTTTACTTTGGAGAGATTGGCAAGAATTCGCAGACATTGGTTGATTACTTTGTCCGCAACGGTGGGCCAGAATGTCCGCCTGGCGCGAATCCCGCAGAGTACATGCTTGAGGTAATCGGTGCCGCACCCGGTGCTCATACCGACATCGACTGGCCCGCCGTCTGGCGCCAAACACCCGAGTACCAGTCTGTTCAGGATGAGTTGGCCAGGTTGTGCTCGGGTGGTCCTGCGCGACCTGCCTTGGCTGATGGTCAAGATCACTCTACTTACAAGGAGTTTGCCGCCGGCTTCAGTACGCAGTTCATGGAGGTCACGAAGCGCGTTTTTCAGCAATACTGGAGAAGCCCTGCTTATATCTACTCAAAGGGAGTCCTGTCCTTTGGTGCTGTGAGTGCTTCCCGAGAGATCTTTCCAGTTGGGTCATAAACTAACTTCAGTAGGCTCTGTTCATCGGTCTTTCATTTCTGAACGCTGAAAACACGCAACGTGGCTTGCAAAACCAAATGTTTGGCGTCTTCATCTTCCTCACGGTATTCAGCCAAGTCGTTGAGCAAATTCTGCCAATCTTTGTATCTCAGCGGACCATGTACGAGGCGCGTGAGAGGCCCTCAAAGGCATACTCGTGGAAGGCCTTCATGTTCGCGAACATCCTGGTGGAGATGGCCTGGAACTCGGTACGTGTCTCTTTTTGCCTCTTTCAGAGTTTTGTTTAGTCCACAGCCAAACTGACTTATCCTCCAGGTTGCCTCCGTCTTCTGCTTTGTGTGCTGGTACTTCCCCATCGGCCTCTACCGCAACGCCTACGCCACCGACGCCGTCGATTCCCGCGGCATCACCATGTTCCTCCAAGTTTGGGTGTTCTTCATCTTCACCGGATCTTTTGCCCACATGATGATTGCAGGCCTGCCAAACGCCGAGGTAGCTGGCGGAATCGTCAACCTCTTTGCGATCATGATGTTTGCTTTCTGCGGGTAAGTCCAGTTTTTTACTCATCATTCCCCTTATAACCGATAGCTAACACCTCATTCACCAGAATTCTCGCCGGACCAAATGACCTCCCAGGTTTTTGGATCTTCATGTACCGCGTCAACCCCTTCACCTACGTGGTAGAAGGCTTCCTGGGCACATCCCTCGCCAACGCCGCGGTGCACTGCGCCTCCAACGAGTTCGTCTCCTTTGCGGCGCCGAGTGGGCAGACGTGCGGGCAGTACATGTCCGACTACATCTCCGCTGCCGGCGGCTACCTCTCAAACCCGGATGCCGTCAACGGGACCGAGGAGTGCCAGTACTGCGCCATGTCGGATACCAACACCTTTTTGAAGGGGATCAATGTCGACTTTGACCACCGATGGAGGAACTTTGGGCTGATGTGGGCGTACTGCATCTTCAACATTGTCGTGGCTGCGCTTGTGTACTGGCTGGTGCGCATGCCTAAGAACAAGAAGGTCAAGAAGGAGTAGTTGAGATGTGACGAGTATCTCCTTTGTGGTAGACATATGGACGGGATGTACTTTTCCAGGGTTTTAGAAGAGGATGGGAGGAACGTTGTTAGATGCAGGGTTGGCACTAGATGCATTGTTTTCTTGCTGCGCTTTGCAGAGCATTCCAGATTGCTACCGACTTAATCGCAATATTTAATAGACATAGAATCTGCTTCAATTATTATCATCGCCGCGCTCAACGATAGCTGATTGATAATGCACGGCATGGAATTCGACCAAAATAAACATGACTATAGAAGCGTGCCTTAGGACCCAAGTACTAACCTACCTACGGAGAATCGAAGATTTCCCATTAAGCCAGGCTCGATGACCTGCACAACAAGGGGTAATCCACGTTGACGGAGGCGTCCGATGTAATCCTCCGACCTAGTGTGCGTCTCGGGGACCGAAGTCCGTAAATGCAGGCGCGGAGAGCCGGACATGGGCACGGGAAGACTGCAGACAATCCTTCGAATCCCCGAATCAAGACGGACAATGACGTACTAGAGCTCTCTAATTGCCTATACGGATAGACAGACCGCCAACGTGCGTTGCTTGACTTTCATGTTGGGGACAATGGCCTGGTCGTAGCGTAGGGCGCGCGTGGACCAAGCTGCCGACTTGAACGTCAACCTCATAATCAGCCAAAGTCTTGGGACAGCCTAGAAGCATGTCAACAACAGTATTCAAACGGCTATCGGTTGGATCTGTCTGTTCATCTACTTGAGAGCGATTCCGAAGTCTGGGGTAAGAGGAAAGATGAAGGAAATGTTTCTGAATCTGGATAGGTCTTGGAGTGGTTTAATCGGGAATTGCGCACAGTCCTGTTGGCGGCTTGTTTCAGGTTTCGTTCCTTCTGGAAAGCGACGCTCAGTTGGCTATTAGAGCGTGAGCGGCACATCGCGTGGTGGAACAAGCAAACGTTCTTTAAGTGCTGGACTTTCTTTTCCGATTCAATGTCTCTCCGTCTGTGATCATTTGTGATCATCTGTTCTTGGAAGCTATGCTTTTACCATGCAATATGTTGTTATTCCAATATTCCAGCTATCCACAGCACACCTCAGCCTAGGACCCAGATGTTTCTCAGCAACACTGCAGGGAGAGACAAGAGAAGCGACCCGATTCTCGTTGGGGCATGGCTCGGGGCGCTTTGTCTCTAATAGCGCCATTTGTCATGTCCCTGGATGCCTGTGTCTGCTTAGATAATATGGTCAACAAGTTGATCTTCCCTTACATTGTACCTTGCGGTAAAAGGGTCCAGTGCCGAGGCTTTTGGCGCCCATAGATCATAACAGGGAGCTCGTCCGGCGCGGAATGCCTGAAAGCTTCCATGAATCCATGCTGTTTATGCTGTTTATGCTGTGTTTGTCGACTTTGGCCCCGCCACCCAACCTTTGGCCCCAACTTTGTCCCATGCCAATCACCATGTCTCGCCCAATCCAGCCTCTGATCAGGGCCATAAGACAGTCTTATTGATACTTTTGTCAAGCTCTCTTCCTTGTCGGGACTCGGCTATTGCATGGTTGAAGGGTGACCCTACTTCATCCCGCCCTCCGCTCGACGATCGGATACGACGCCGGCCAGGACCTCTCCACACTCCATCATCCCTTTCGGACCCTTTTTCTGAAATTCTGACTGCCGGTCTTACCGCCGGATCCTGTTGATGATTGGGCGTCAGATGGCTTCGTCCTGAAGCACGCACACTGGCACGTCCTAGATCTGCAGGACAAGTGCCTCGCCCTGAGTGGTCGCATGGCCATATGCACGCGGTCCAGCCCCCCTTCATGTTCCCTCCAACTTGCTCTGTGACTTGTGTCCCATGGTTCGCGACCACTGGCATCCTCCGAAGCCTAAGCACCGTGGCAGCTAAGGTAGTGTGCATGTCGACGAAGGCAAAAACAAGGGCCAAAAGGGAGATCGATCACCTTACCTCGACTTGTTTGGGTTCCGGGCTGCAGCGAGTAAGCGTGGCTTTACTCCAAAGCTCAAGCTCTGTCCGCCGCCGCCTCGCCGTTTCTTTCTCACCACCAACTGTCCACACCTTTCTTTTCGCCTCGTTTCGATCTTGCAACCCTCCCCATCCAAAATCAGGAACCAGGACAAGCTCCAACCGACAACCCATTCCCAAGGCAGCTCAGGTGTGGTGGCCACAAGGAGGGAGGGGGTCTTCTGCGTGGCTTACTCCGAACCACCTTATTTTCACTTTCTCACTCGCCTCAACTCACTTCTCTCACATTAACCTTTCTCCAACGCGACGTGCAGTGGGAAAGAAGAAGGGCTCGGGAACTGGCCAGACTTGGCTTCTCAGGGAGGACAGCCACTGGTCTGGCTCGCTCAGCTCACTGCACACGTTCACCGAGCTCATCAAATTTTGACTCACTCTCATCTCACTCTGCCGACCTCTCACCTAAACGGCCGCATTCCTCACCTTTTTCATTCGCGCTTCACCTTTGCGACACTTACTCGGCTTCAAGCCCATAGACTTCACTGTCCCGACGACACCCGCGACGCTCCCGACGCCGACGACAGACAGCGAAACACGATCAAGTTCTTTCGAGGGGGCGACATCCCCCAACAGCAAAACCCCCCGACGCGGTGAGCCAGCCCGAAACCCCCAAGAAGACCATCCGCCATGCGCCCGAACAAGGCTACGCGATGGGGGGCGGTGAGCCGCACCTCCGACAAAGCCTCCATCCTCACCCTCCTCGGCACCTCAGAGCTCCTCAAGCTCCGCGGGAAATGGCGCATGGCTCTGCGCCTCGGCACCTTCGCCCTCCGCCAGTCCCAAGGCCTGGGGACGCTGACCGAAGGCCTCGCCCTGCTGAGCGTCGGCCACGCCTACCGCAACCAGACCCCCGAGGACTGGATCTCGGCCCAGCACCACCTGCGCATGGCGAAACTTCTCCTCGAGGGTCTCCCGACGAGCGAGGACCAGACCTTCTACCTCATGCGTGCCGTCTTGCTCCTCGGCGACACCCTCGTGCGCCGCGAGGACCTGGGCGACATTGCCGAGGCCGAAGAGCTGGCCCACCTCGCCGAGCGCCTGCTACGCCAGAGCCGCGAGGGGCGGTCGTCGGATTCGGGCAGCAGTAGGGGAAGATCATTCCGCTGGACCCTCTTCACAGGCTCATGGCGCGACTTTTGCCTGCACTCCATGGTCGAGCTGGGCGAGATCTACTACTACACGAGTCGCTGGGCCGAAGGGGAGAAGCTGCTGCGCGAGCTCGTGCCCACACTGGTACGGCGGAGGGGAAAACGCCACGTCACGACGATCGAAGCGCAGCGCGACCTGGCAAGCATGCTCGTAAACCAGGACAAGTATGAAGAGGCCGAGATCGCGTACCGCATCGCGCGGGACTGGAACGAGGAGGTACCCGTATTCGGACATGAAGAGAAGGCCGCCATCGACTACAATATCGCAATGTGTCTCTCAGAGCGGGGCCGAGATGAGGAGGCCCGCGTGGAGATTGGCAACATGGACCTGGCCGCCGACCTGCTACACTATGCTAACGGCGAGTGGACTCTGAAGCTGGCGCGGCTTACGAGCCTGCGGCTGAAAAAGTACGACGAGGTCATTGGTCTTTGCCGACGATTCCAGCGCGTGCTGGACGAGCACAGGGCCCGATTCGGTGTCTGCAGCACCGTGACGCTGCGTAATATGGAGGACCACGTCACGGCGCTCAAGGCTTTGAGGAGGTGGGACGAGGCGATTGTCATCCTGCGTGACATGTGCCGGCGCGAGGCGGGCGACGTCGCGCGCGTGGTCGAGCAGACGCTCGAGACGCGGCTGAACCTCGCGCATACGCTGCGGTGCGCGGGACTACATGAGGAGGCGGCGTACGAGTACCGCAAGTGTCTCGAGATCGAGAGGGCGGCGTCAAACGATTTCCAGGACGAGGCGCAGATTCGAAATATACTAAAGTACCTCGCGTACCTGTACGAGCTGGCGGGTGACAAGACGAATGCGTTGATTGCGTATTCGCAGCTGCAGAGGGAGTACTGGGGCCGGCCGAGCCATCATCGGAATTTCATCAAGTATGAGTGGTGCCGGGGCAAGATGTTTATGCTGCAGGGCCGGTGGGAACATGCGTTGAAGCTGCTGCTCGGCGCGCTTGCTGTTAAGAGGGGGATCGAGGCGGCTGTGTCCATCATCACGGGGTTGCCGATCGAGGCAGTGCATGCGATGCAACCTGGCAGGAGGGTCCCCGAACCGACGCAGCAGGACATATTAGAAGTCGACGACGAGACCGATGAAGAGGAGCAAGATCTCAAAGGGCTGGAAAAGGTGGATACCCATGGCCAGGTCCAGGTCCAAGAGCTGGATCACTCAGACGATACTTCTGACGATGAAGCGGAGCAGCAGTCATGGGACGAGGTCGACTGGTGGGAGGAAGTCATCAAAGACGCCGTGGATGCAGTGCGTCGTGAGGAGCCGTTCCAGGCGTGCACACCGCTCGACGAGGCTGACTCAGAAGTGGACGACGATGAGATCGAGGAGACGGTGGACGCCGTGCTCACGTTGAAGAGCGGGTATCCTGCCGTGCCTGCGGGCGACGAGTGGTCGCAGCCACAGTGGCCGCGGCTCCCGGACACGTATGAGGAGTTGGTGATGCAGCAGCGGAGTGTTGTTGAGGAAAGCAGGCCGTGGGTGCCGTGAGGGCATTCAGGGGGACGACGATGAGAGAGCGTTTGAGGTGTCTGTTGCATAAAACTTGTTTGATGATATCCGGAGTTGGGCATGATGCTTGATACCAGACGGTTTGGAGGTGTGTCTTTGGGCACTTGATCCACGGAGATCGTAAATACAGGATGGAGAGGACTGGATATAATGACTTTTACGCCCCCTCGACTATAAAATAATGACATTGCATATTACTCTTCATAACCAATTGACCGTACACGTGACTAGAATGAAAATAGTTGCCAAATATGAGGGCGGTTGTCTTCGTTGACCCCTTCGTCTCGTCCGGACCTGTGGCCGGCCACGGAGCTCCACAACCGGGTTTAGCCGCCGTAACGCCGGTGCTTACTCAGGCCAAGGCTCCGTGGAAGTCACCGTTGAGGACTCCACACCGCTCCCGATCAACACAAGGTTACGTGCCTTTCTCGTATTTGCCACTTCGAAACCAGGCTCGTGTTCTTTCTCTGAACATAAATTGTGCGAGAATCCACGTGTAACAGCTTGTGATAAGACGTCAAGCAGGCCGCAATAACCATAACAAGCACAAAATCGCATCCTCACCTCCTCGATGCCTGAATGTGGGCGTTTTCAAACACAGTTCACCATCACCACAACTGCTTACCCGTTCAAAACATCATTCGAGTGTAGCTGCGCTCTCCAAGTCATCTCTCATCATTCTCACAAATATGTCAATCCTCGTTCTCGGAGCAGGCGAACTTGGTACAGCCATCCTCAACGCCTTAACATCACACTCCTCGCGTCCTCCAAACTCTCCAATCTCCGTCCTCCTCCGCCCCTCCACCATATCTTCATCCGACCGATCGAAAGCCAAATCCATTGCACACTTCACATCCCTCGGCATCTCCCTCGAACCCGGCGACGTCGTACACGACTCCCTCCAATCTCTCGCCTCCATCTTTGCAAAATATGACATCGTCATAAGCTGCACAGGCTTCGTCGGCCCTGTCGGAACACAACTGCGCATCTGCGAAGCTGTTCTCCTGGCCAAGGTCCGTCGGTACTTTCCCTGGCAATTTGGCGTCGATTATGATGTTATTGGCCGGGGCAGCACGCAGACGCTGTTTGACGAGCAGCTTGATGTCAGAGACATGCTACGTGCTCAGAGGGAGACAGAGTGGGTTATTGTTAGCTCTGGTCTCTTTATGAGCTTCCTGTTTGTCAAGGAATTCGGTGTTGTGGATTTTGAAGAGAGAAAGTTGCGAGCCCTTGGGGGCTGGGATGTTGAGGTTACGCTTACGCAGCCGGATGACATTGCAAGGATGACGGCTGAGGTGGTCTTTGAGCCCCGTGGTATTCCTGGTGAAGGTCGGAATGTAGTATATGTTGCTGGAGATACGGTTTCGTACGAGACCGCGGCAGATTTGGTGGAAGAGCAGTTTCCTGGGGTTGAGTTTAGCAGGGAAGTGTGGGATATGGGCTTGATCAGGGAGAGTCTTGTAGAAGATCCGGGCAACAACTGGAACAAGTACCGCGGAATCTTTGGTTCGGGTAAGGGAATCTCTTGGCCGTTAGGGAAGACGTTGAACGGCGAGCGACGCATTGCTCTTGAGGATCTGAGAACCTTTCTCGGAAGGATGGAGACGCCAGCTTCAATCGAGTAGGTGAGTTAACCATGTAAACCTAACAGATGGAAGATGGTTTTTAAAATGAAGACGAAGATAATTCTGAACAAGCCAAGTCTATTCATTTGGATGGCATGCTAGTCTACGCCCTTGAATTCAAACCATGGTGTGTCCTTGTCGAAGCATGCCCGTCATACTCCCAACTTCCCAAATTTCTACCCACGCCAATGATTCACCCGATTTTAAACTTATCCACCCTTTTCAAAGCCCGTGAGAAGAGCCCGCAGTCCATTCAGGCTTGTGAAACTAAACTCAAACATACTCTAGCAGTAGAGTATCATCGCAAGAGCAACCTGCACAGTCAAGAACACCGACCACCCAGCAAAGGGCCCCTTGATCCCAGCCGCATTACGGTTACGATCATTATCGTCGTCGTCGTCGTTGTCATTATCGTCATCATCATCTTCGCTTAGACTCTGAGGCACATCGCTCCCCGAAACGACATCTTTCGCGCGGACGCAGTGCAGAGTAGCCCGGCTCTCCGCAGCATCACCAGAGCCGCCCCAGGTCAGCATCACGGGCCAAATCATCCGGCTCGCAATGGCATATTCGCCTCCGCGTCGGCGGTCGTCGTTGTTGTTGTCGTTGTTGCCCCAGTTGTAGGCTTGGGATCCGTAGGCAAAGATTTGGGATCCAGAGGCAATGTTGGGAGCTATGGAAGTATGTAAGTAAGCTACCAATTTTTGATACCATGAAGTAGTGGAATGGAAACTTACAGAAACCAAAGCGTTCACCGTTGGCATCCTCGAGGAAATCCTTGCATGCGCTGGGCAAGTCTGCAACCCCGCATGTCCCAAACTGGCCAGATGATGTCTCCAAGAGCTTTTGGCGACATTCGGCAGAGAGGGAAGCGCCGCAATCGCCGCTGTCATCTTGAGAACCGCTTCTCGCCACCCGGTCTAGTCTCGGTATGAAAATGTTAACGCAAAGCTTCCAACCCGCGCCGACGGTTTGTTGTCCGTCGACTTGGTTGAGGTTGATCGAGGAACCCGTGAAATAGTTGCGGTTTCTGTTCTTGTTCCTGTTGTTGTCATTATCGTCATCATCATTGTCGCTGTCATCATCATTTCTGCCCCGAAGCCGGTATGATAACTGTTGTAATTGACGCTTGTCGTCGCGAGTGGTGTGGACTCGCGCGGCGACATTGATGCTGAGGTCAAAGGGGGCCGCCGTCCATGCGGAATCGTTGTTTGGCGGGAAGGCAGCTGATACATCTGGGCCGTCGAAGCGGTATGAGGTAGTCAAGTTGGGATGGACCATTGCTGAGTTCCAGTCTGAGGTGCTGATGCCGTGAGGTGCGCCTGTGCCTGTGATGACGGAGAAGTCGCTATCTGCGAGAGATGGGCCCGCCGCGGCGATGATGGCGAGTGCTGTTTGGAGGTAATGCATGTTTTTTTTTTTTTTTGAATGCCCAAGTTATGAGTTTATCTGACTGATACTGATGACTTATTGAATTGGGTTTTTTTGAAAGTTCAGAAATCGAAATTCGTTTGCTATTTTAATACTCGATGGAATCCCATACAATGCCTATCCATCCGAAGACATTTTGCTCCCCTCCGGTGACTTTGCCAAGACTTTCAATGTCTTCGGCGACTATCATTCAAGTTGGGAACACATGTCACACAACAAAATAATTTGGCAGCCAATCGGCGGACTCCCGAAACATTCTTTGCTCGTTGATGGGGTACGAGTCTGCGAAAGTGATCCTTATATTGTGGCGCTTTCCCATCCTCCGAGTGCGGACGGAGATCGCTGCCGAAGTCGCGGCGACGGCGACGGTGTATGCCAAGGCGCAGAATGACCAACCCCCAAGTCAAAATAAGATTGAGAACAGAGGGAATAAACTTTCGATTAAGCTTAGGCTGGGGTTGTTTCCACAATGGTGGTTCTGGTGATCCATCATGATCACGGGTTTGCCGACCTAACCGGCCGTTTTAGCCGGCTTGGTGTTGAGGACCTTGGCTTCGTTTGACTACACTCCATCGCGACATAGAAGCCTCAGCAAACAAACATGCTACTAAACCAGCATCAAAAAAACTCAAAACATGCGAGAAAGATATCAGAATGGTTCTGTATTCCGATTGCATCAAGACTCTTGAAGTCGAGCTAAATGGATTTCAAATGCAGCTTTTATATTGTTTCAGCAATATAACCACTAACCAAGTTACTGCGTTTTTCCACGTTGCGACGAACTCGCAAGGTGTTGAGAGATTTACCAATATTTATTTAGCTAACTCACTGTAGTTTACACGTCCTTCGTCCCATCAGTTGGATACCCAGTCCTCACTTGGAGTTATTAGCGGCAAGGTTGTTCAAGCATGATCGTAACTGAGGCATCATATTGAGCCTGCATGTAGAAGAACTCCAAATTCTGGATGCATAGATCAACTTGGCAAAAAATGCGCATCAATGCAAAAATGTCACCTTCTGCCCGACGAGCAGGACTATTGAAAGATGCTGCACCAATACATGTACTTTGTCAAGGTAACTCTACCTACTTCGGCAAGTGGCTCAATGTTGGCTTCCTGCATGTGCTCTAGGTTTCGGACTTTTTTTTGGACTTCGTTACTCCATATACTCTATCTACCATTTAAGCTGTCTTGCGGTTGCTGCCTCGCAGGCTATGTTCCATAAATTTAAGCTGGTCAATGATGTTGATCGCGGGCAGCAATTAGAGACGTTGCTTTTGCGACAACTGCAGCAAACAATTTCCGAAACCCATCCGGAGAAGAGCAGAATATGTCCGGAACAGAGGCGTAGACATCCGCAGTGGCATAACAGGCAGATAAACCGATTCTTAGGGAATTAGTACGGAGCGGCGGCGGAGTGGCCCGGGCAGCCCGGAGGAAGGTTCGCGGTAATAAACAAGTCAGACCGAGACGGGGTCAGGCGATGACGTGGATATTGGGGGATGCGTAAGTCGCAAACTCGCAATTGACTCGGCTCAGTCCCTCTCATTTCCCGCGGTCGCCAAATGGCTCATCAGTAACGCAAGCGACAGAGGTCTCAAGAGCCTGGACTGTTCATCCCGTCAAAGGATTAAAAATGGACGAATACAGCTCCCTGCCAAGAAATGAGAGTGCTGTAGGGGCAAATGCGACACTACAGAGTATCTCGTTTTCGCTCGGATCATATGCCCTCCCACATCACTTGGGCAGCAGGCTAAGGTAGCTGTTGATCAGTACTTTAGCTATCCGATTTTCTGTAAAGTTGAAACAAGTCCTTAATGACGGAAGATCTACTTTCCAAAGATCGTCGCTCAACTAGAAACTAGCTGCGATGGTCGGGAATATCTCCAATTGGACCCTCAGTGGTCGGTCACGAAAGTTGATCGATGTACAAACGCGTGCAGGCTGCCCGCGGCATTGACTCTAGTATTGACTTTAGCCCAGCTTTGACGGCTAGCCACATGTTCGACACTCTGAAAGACTCGAATTGAGTTTCCTGTTGTTTCGAGAGACGGCAGTACGCACAAACCAGTCTTGGCCCCAAGGACCAGTTCTTAATGGTTCTCCTGGCTGTTAAGTGACAGAGTTTCGGGAAGACTGAGCTTGAGTCAATCGACCCAACAGAGATTTGGGAAGTGGCACTCAGGGCAAACCTAGTTACCCAGTCGCCAGCGCTGCAGCACAGGCAAAATACAGAATCTTCTGCCCCCATCTCCTCATGATGTTTCGTTCCAAATTCCAAGGGCTCGGCGCCAAGGTACATCATGGTAGCAGAGATGTGCTTCGGGCGCAGTCTACTGAACTTGGCGTCTGCGAAAGGATGAACGGGTTCGAAGTATCCCAAAGAGTGAACCTGGAATGCATTGGCAATAGATCAGATAGAGAATCCGTACCTTGTAGCCGGCGACACACTCGAAATCGGCGAGCTTCAACGTCCGAGGAGCCGCTAAGAAGACTACCAAGCATCCCGTCATTAGATCGATACCGAACTTCCCCTACCGCTTCTATTCTTGTTCGTCGCGCGACATTCGGGCGGGTAGTGCGACACGGCCTATGGGGCATCAGGGGCGCGGGAGCTGCAGGGTGATCGCAATCTTCCTAGCGCAAATAAGTCGTCCACAACAGTCAAGATACGGTGACGGCTTTTCAAGATCTGAATCATACAGTCTTTTTTGACAGCGTCGGAGGTCCTCCGTCACCCCGTAAGAAGAATTGTCGCATGAATCCTGATGCACAGGATTGATGTTGCACCTTATCCCGCCTCTATTAGTCAGTAACAGCAACGAAGGCGGCAATCCTGGACTGTGGCAACATGGTGACCCCGAGACGGCATTGAAAGCTCTATGTTCAAGACATCTTTGACAAAGGCCAGACCACTCCGTGATCAGCGTTCCCTTGGATGATTCGACGTTCCACGAATCACCACATCAGACGAATTTGATTCTGCTAGGCATCCGAAAATGATTTGGGGGCTGATGTTGCAGTGCGGAGGCAACCACGTAGACCCAAAATCTTTATCCTCGACAAGCGGGATGCCACAGCCAGGCTTCTGCCGAATCTGCTCAACAGAAAACGCGGCAGAAAACCACGGCCTTGGGCAGCAGGCGCGGGAGGCAAACCGTGAGCATTGTTTGACCAGGTTGGCTGGGCCCACACCTGGCACAGAGCGGCCGGCACACGTCCGGTCTCTTGTAAATGACCCTCTGCTCAGCAAAGGGTCCGGACTCCGGAAGGGTGGGCGAGACACCCCGATCGCCCTCCGGCAGGCAAGATAATCATACCAAAAATCAGTACCAACAGCCGTGTCAGCTACAATGAGAGTGACAGCTGCATTAGAATTCTCTGTTGGAATGGGTTTCTTTTCTTCTCTGCAGACCGCACGGATTCAGGCCCGCCCCCCCGATGGTCGGTCTGTGGCCTCACCATCACATCACATACCCCCCATAATAGGGGCCAATATATGCGGCTGCATCACCGGTATTGACCTGCAGCGTGTCTTTGCAAGGCCACCCTTGGCATATATCCGATGACATATGGTTCTCTGCCGCACTGATTCTCGAGCTCTCATGATACGACTTACCAATGCCGCGGTTCCTTACGGAGCCAGCCTAAGGACAAAGTTGTTATGCATCTCCAGTACGGCTGACAATCAGAGACAGTTATCGGATGGGATCCTCCATAATGCAGACTCTATATCGTCTGATCTGAAGAGACCGGCGTCGCGCCAGCCTGATGCTACGTGAACAAACAGAAATTCGTCGAGGCCACCGAGAACTTACTTGGCGACCGACCTGCCAGGTGATAGCCTGCCCAGACATCAGCGGGCGATGGAAAAGCAGGGGAAGGCTCCATATTGCTCTATCCGTACGGATACCGTCATCGCCCTCAATATTCCGTAGATTGACCGACCATTCTGTCCCGCCAAGGCCCTTGCCCATCTCCTTTCTCGCTCTTTCGCCCGCGCGAAGGCGCCAGCAGTGCGTCCTGACACGGGAAGAGCAATATGGCAATATGGGCATCATGAAGTTTTTTCGTCTGAGAAAGTCTTGGCACTGCTTTGGAAAACTGGAGATGGTGGAGTTGTCAAGATAGACGCCTTCGCGGTGGTTGGCTTGGCTGGCTTGTCACCCCCTTGGAGAAGTTGGCGCTGAGCACGACTGTTTCGAAACGTCTTGCAAGGGGCAAGTTCGACATTGAGACGTTGAAGTTGGGCCCCCCCCAGGTGTCTGACAGGGGAAGTGGGCAGCAAAAACTCCCGTGTGTGGGTGTGTGTGTGTGGTTGCGTGTGAGGCGTGATGGTGCGTGCATGTGCGAAGCTGAGTGGTGACTTTGGGTGAGAAGGAATGCGAGGAGCCTCCATGTTGGTGTGGGCGCGTGGCTTAGCAGCAGCTGCCAGGGGCTCTCCGAGTCCACGCATCTGGACGATCACTTTATTCAAGACTTGGGATTCGTCTGTGTTCAAGCTTCCCGGCCAAGAAAGACCGAATTAAAGGGCGGGCCTGGCTAGTCAGGAACCCGGGGTCCCCAGTCGAGCTATCCGATACCACAAGAGACTGTCACTCGAGTCTCTGCTGCCCTCTTTGGGCAACGACCTGCGCGCAGACAATCAAGTTGGGATGAGTCCATGTCCCAACTCGGGCGTTGGCTCCGTTCCTGCGATGGAGACGGGCTCCCGATGGCAACTCCAGATGGAATGCCACTCAAAGTTGACAAGCCCACACGCACGTCGTTGGCGCCGTTGACAGCGTAACAGCACAAGAGTCTGTTCCACATACGTGAGCCCACTTTACGAAACCTGGTGGATTCTGTGGCTCTAGTGCGATCTTCACTGCCTGCATCGACGCTTTCATTTCCTCCGCGTCGCCTGTTGATTGATGCTGTATTCACTGCGGAGGAGATGGAGCACCTGGTCTTGGCACGGGTTGAAGCAGGATTGGGTCTCTTCGAATACACTACCGGAGTAGTCTGGACGAGCCTCTGGGTCCACGAGGGTGTTCGGTAGTAGTGTAAGTCCAAGGTTGATTTTGATATGGACCCGGGCAGAAAGAATTCGTCCCCCCCAGAAATCTCACTTGATATAAGTAACCTCGAGATGTCCGGCCAAGAGCTATTCCTGCTCTCATTACTTTCACCTCATCAACCTTTCCAACTCCTTTGTTCATTACACTCTTTCAAGCAGGCTTGAACTATTTCTTCATTCTCTCAAGTAGACAAGCCTTTTTCTCTCTCTATCTTCCAACCCGCCTTCTCTTACACCAACACCACCAACAACCCACTCAACCACACTCACAATGAAGTACTCTTTCGCCATCGCCCTCAGCACCCTCGTGCTCGGCATCACCGCCGCCCCCGCGGCCAACGTCGCCGCCCAGGGCAACGCCATCGCCCACGCTGAGCGCGGCTACTTCGACTTCCTCCACGCCGCCCGCGCCGAGAACCCTACCAAGACCAAGTCCTCCAAGGCGGCCAAGAAGACCAAGCACGCCACCAAGACCCGTCACGGCGGCTCCATCATCACCTCCGCCCCCGGCGCCCCCGGCAACGGCACCAACAGCCAGTTCGAGATCCGCGCCAGCAACGGCACCGCCGCTGCCGGCCTCCCCGCCTCTTCCGGTACCTCGGTTCTCAAGGCCGCCCAGACTGTCGCCGCTGGCGCCTCCTTCGATGGTGGCATGAAGGCTTTCGACCGCGGTGTCTCCTGCACTGGCCAGGCTGAGGGTGGCGACTCTGACGCCGTCTTCATCCTCGAGAAGGGCGCTACGCTCTCCAACGTCATTATCGGACCCAACCAGATCGAGGGCGTCCACTGCAACGGTGGCTGCACTCTCAACAATGTCTGGTGGTCTGCCGTCTGCGAGGACGCCTTCACTATCAAGAACCAGGATGCCGGCGAGACCACCACCATCACCTCTGGCGGCGCCTTCGGGGCCGATGACAAGGTTCTTCAGCACAACGGTGCCGGTACCCTCTCCGTCAGCGGATTCACCGTCGAGACCTTTGGCAAGCTGTACCGCAGCTGCGGCAACTGCAAGTCCATGTACGAGCGTCACATCATCCTCGACAACATCAACGCCTCCTCTGGAAAGCTCCTTGCTGGTAAGTTCCTCATTGGGACCTGGTTCTTTTGTTTACATCAATGCTAACATGTCTCGCTCACAGGTATCAACTCCAACTACGGTGACACTGCCACCTTTACCAACATTGTCGCCAAGAGTGTCAAGGAGATCTGCACTGAGTTCAAGGGCACCACCCCCGGCAACGAGCCCACCGAGATCTCCAGCGGCCCCTCTACTTACTGCAAGTACGCCACCTCTGACATCCAGAGCTCCTAAGCGCGAACAATTATCGCGAGATCTGACCGGGCGCTTTTTGTCCCGAGTTGAGAGATCATACGTGCCCTATATTCAGTGAAAAGGGCACTCAAAACATAGGCTTGTTTACTTGTAGATATTCTTCATTCTTGTACATTCCAGAAAAGCGCGTGTACCTAGAATCCAAAATTCAAAGCCCTGCGGGCAATTATCATCATCTACTGCTCCTGCTGTACGCTCGTTGCCACTGCCTTGAATCGGATTCCCCGCGACTTGCAATGGTGTGACTTGTGGTGCGGTAAACCCTGAGTGAGGGGACTTGATAGAACCCCACAGAATCACAAACCATTCATGTCTGCAATTCTGATTGACCTTGAGATGCTCAATGTCTTTTCTAGTTGCTTAAATCTGTGTCATAAAGATCGCATGCTACTGCTGCAGTCACAAGCTGACCTTTTCTAGAAATCAGTATATTGCATGTGAGGTAAGATCGAGACCACAGTGAGCAGAAACGAGGGAAGTCCCATACCTTTGAGGGCCTTTACGAAACTGAATGCGTTCGAAAATCTGTTCAGTGCATTGACCGCTATCTTCACCTGTGTCTTGCACTTGTTGTGTACGTCGAGTATCGCTGAAGACGGCATGGAATGATCCGGTGCGTTCGCCGAGGTCTGGAAATGCGATATCATCATCAGGGTAAAGCCAGCCAAGTTGGCCGAACATGCCACCGGTGTTGCTGAACAGTGTCAATAGGTCTTCTATAAGAGAAAAAACAGACGAAATTATTTCTCTACTTACTGCGAACCCCCATGCCTGCAAGGGTTTCGAGTTCTGTAGCAATGCCTGTGGCAGATTCAAGACAAATCTCGTGCGAATGATTGCTTGAGAATGGAAACACCAGGCTAGCCTTTTGAGATATACCACTGTTGCCATGCATGACTTGCCCTTGTGCCAGGCCAATTGAAGTATCCAAAGGGGGTATTGATTCGAATCTTCTTAGTATCTGGGGATGGTCCATAAAGGCACGATACCTGTGCAGCTTGATACGTGCGCTGTGTCTATCAGTTAGTCCGACGCACTGAGTATCTCTTCCTAGTTCCGATGGAACATACCTCATCAGCCTAGCCCGAGTTGTGATGTGGAGGCAAATGGCAAGTTTGGACTCGGGGTTATCCACCGGCGCCCGAGGTTGGCCCAAGTTGGATTGGTTCAACTGATGTGTGATGACAGCGTCAAGAGCTCCAATGTTCCGGTTAAAAGACGACGCGGTAGTCTCGGAGTTGAACCCTTTGAGTAATGCCGCAAGCATCAAAGTGGCTGCAACAAGGGCTTCTTCGGCTCGGATGTATTGTGCCCATACCTATGATTATTTGGTCAGGAACCCAAAGCACTCTACCCAGTAATGCTTGTAGGTCAAGCTTACCTCTGGCGCCTCTCCACTGGAAGGGTACGGCGCCTTGGAACTGCTACTATCGATAGGCTCGTCAAATGGCTAGCAGGAGTAGCAGTCAGCCTTTACAAGTTGATTCAGAGCTGTTGGGCAGTATGATGTCTTTACCGTACAGCTCACAATCGAGGCGTTGCATCGGCAGAGATACTAGATTTGACGAACTCCTTCTCAGTCTTGCATGCCAAAGGAAGTTGTTTGCTATCCCAAAACTTACACTCATCCACCATGCCCTATGCATCGACTCTGAGAATTGACCGGGGTTCGATGTGTTGTGACTATTTAACAATCGTTCCGAAAGACTGAGCCCTTTGCTGGCAAGGGCTGTCATCTTTTGGAAGTCTCCACAATGGGGGTATCGGTATAGACTTAAGGCGCAGCACGCCAAGGGTGCTTCGGCTTCTATCGGAACGTTTGGGTGAAAGCTAGAGGCCCGAAACGGTTGTACTGGGAAAACATCTGATGCAGCAGTCTCAATAATCTCAAGCGCATGTTGAGTGAGTGAAGATGACTCGCTACTTCGGGCTTGAAGATTTTCCTCGTTAGATCCACGTCCTGCACCTTCCTGATCTACGTGAATCAAAAGAGCCCGAAGCGCCAGGATGAGAGGGGATGAAGTTAGATCCGTGTCTGAAGACGAGACCTGCTCAGCTTCAACAGGAGGTGGAAGGAGGGGAAGCACAGGATGTAAAAGGCGATAATAAGCTTCAAGTCTAGTTTCTCATTGAGTTGCCTGCCCTAAATAACCTTCGAAGGAGCGTGGGAAAGACTGAAACATGGAAGCACTTACATTGCTGTAGTTGACCGGTACTCGTTCGTGTATTGATGACTAGAGGGTGTAGACGAAACTAACGGAGGTTCCCAGAGGCCGACACGTGGGAAAGACGGCGTGCTAAAGACATCGACGAAGAAATTGTCTAGATCCGTGTCCGAGTCGCCTTGAAAGATGTTATCGAACTCGAAAGCTGCAAATTCTCCATTGAATAGTGGAGGGAGAAGTCCGCTAAATGTCTCTTGGCTGACGGTGAATGTAGAGTTATTGAATAGGCTGGTTTCCTGGGCATAGGGTGGGGTGCCTGTTGGCTGCCCTGGGCGCTCTGGAGGAGATGTGGTTGCTTTGCCTCTTAATTTCAAGCCCCGTCGGCTAGCTGTGAACGTGCATGTGTCTCCATGTCCCTTCTTGACACACTACTTTCTGTAAGTAAAGATTCACTGGGTCGTGAAACACTTTTCTTTGCACAGGATCGCTTACTCGGCTACACGGGCTCTCTCCACTACATCGCACACGAGACGCTCTACTATTCATGAATGGGTTAGAGGCTAGTAAGAGTCTAGAAAAGGTACTTCGGTGCTAACCAAGACGTGCAAGCCGACTTCGCAGGAGACATTGCTGAAGATCTCCAAGTGAAGTCTTATCCTGCCATAAGTTGAGTGCATGCTTCGTGGTTGCGTGGTTACGTCCAAGTACTGTGAACAATATGTGGTCCAGACGAGAGACCATGATGCTTTCAGCTTCAGCTCCACCAGTCTCCAAAGCCCGAGGTAACAAAGCCCGAGACGTTGGAGAAAACGCGCTTTCACGTGCCGCCTGAAGTCATTCTGCTGGTGAATGACTCGGGCGGCTGGAGGCTAACCCACCACAACTTGAGAATCTTTGGGGACTTTGGAGAAGATACCGACATCCCCGAACGGCCATTGCATTGCCCAATGACGGAAGCAGTTGCAGGACGATACGTCTGCGCCTTCTGCGATAGGGGGTTTCGGAAGTTCGAGCATCTTCAAAGGCATAGGCGCATACGTAGGTCCATCCCATTTCCCCGAATGTCTGACCATGGTCAATATGCGTTGCCTATGACCATGATGATGAGGTTCATACAAGAAGAAGCCCGCTGCTAATAGTAAGGGGGTTCTCAAGACACGAATGAAAAGCCGTACAATTGCGATTGCGGTCTTTCCTTCTCTAGACAAGATTTACTTCAGCGACATAGACGTACATCTTCATGTTGTCAGTGGCGAAGTGCAACATCTGATGGAGGCATTAATACCCCCCGCTCCCATGGCTGTCCTATTCCTCCAGGAGAATTGAATTCACAGGATCGATCTTCCTTCTCCAGCATTTCCGCAACAAAAGAGTTCGCTCAAGAGTCTACTTCAACGCCTAAAAGAACCTTGCCCCTGCCTCCTGAATATGCGAGTTTAGGTAATTAAACTCCATCAAAATCTTCTCATGTTTTTCTTGAAGCTTAAAAACGTTCTTAGAGCCCTTTTATTTACAATCGCAACCGGAGAGGCATGTCCTAGCTGATTTCGAAAGCTTCTTCCGCACTAGCGGACTGCAACAAATAGCAGATGATTTAAACCGAGAAAAATGTGAATGTAGTGAAAACAGGGACAACTCCATAGACGTAACATCTACTAACATATTAGAAGTTGAATTGCCTACGTCAGCTCAAGATACACCAATGCTTGACGCGCAAGTACCCACGACCGGTGAGTCGCCCATGCGATGTGCTTTTCAAAGCGCGCTCTACTTCGCCCCAAAAGCTTTAACCATCCTATTAACGGCTAAAGAAGACTCAATGAGACAAGAACCGATTCAAATCCATAGTCCGTGGTCAGAATACCAGCAGAAATATCCCGACTTCATACCACCATCTAAGCGAGCATGTGCCCGATACTTTGCGTCTTATGTCAAGCACAGCAGAGTTCCGCTGTTCCATGACACTACTCAGATACATGAGCTCGATCTAGTCTCGAAGTCTGCATTGTATGCATTGGGGGCAATATATCTGTATGAAGTCCGGAATGCTGCATCGCTTTTCATAACGAGCAAACGAGTCGCCTTTCAACAATGGACTTCGTATATGGATAGCGGAATAGAGAAACCTTCGCAGTAAGTCAGCAAATCGAATCATCTATGAGAGGCGTTTAGAGGCGTGTATTTTGACGACTAGCAGATGTCGGACTTCCTTTGACACTCTCATCGCCTACCACTTACTCGCTGAATTTCTCAAGGTGGCACAACCTATTGATCTCAGGCAAGAACTCCAGACCTGTGCTACTGCGAATTCCCTCTTCTCTAGGCTCTTAAGATTCTCGACAGATCACGCCTCTGTTATTTCTGATCAGAACTCAACTCGAATGCTCCAACGCAGTCGGGTCATTGTATTCTGTGGGCTTGTCATCGACAGCTTCTTATTAGGCTTCCCTATTGCAACACAATCAGACCACTATCAACGCGCATTTCAGTGCCCGTTGAACTCACTGCTCTCTCCAAACTTTGTGAGCGAAGGAGAAGAGCAATCGAGTGGGCTCTCTCATATCGGTCATATAATTGCACTTTTCGATGTCTTGGCCCATGAGCATACCGACGAAGATGGCAATGACCCTTCTGGGTTCGAGTTGATATTGAGCAAACTTCCACCCGATATCCATCTCTTCTTGCTGTCTTTCATCATATTGCGCATAAGATTGATCAAAGATGCATCTGTGCTTGGGATGTCGTCAGAAATCATTGCCTCAGAGCATCATCGACTCATGTGAGTAAAGGTTGGAGATCGACTAGACGGGCTGATTGCCTAATTCACAAAATTTTGCAGACGAACGTTAGGCACTGTTATCCGCATTGTACAGCTTCAAGATTTTACGAGGATCGCGTCACCAAATATATGGAAAACACGAGATAACTGCAGCCTCGCTTGCCTCGTCCATCTTCGCGCCATTTGCCCTTTGGAGCTGAACTACGCGGCAGATTCATCACAGCTCATGGCATCGCTCAAGGCACGTGAAATAAAGCTTGAAGAAAATTCTTTACCTGCTGGGTCTTTGCTACGAAGCATAGAGAATTGCCTTGACTTTTTGGAAGAGCCTGCAAATACTGGTCTCCTGCACTACGTCCGTCAACAGGCAAGCTCATGGAGACTGGAGACTGTGTTGTGGGCATTTGAAGCTGCCGTGTTTCTCAATCAGTGGCTCAATCAGTATCCTGCTGCTGGGTTTTCTGTTGAAGAAGGTTAGTCCCGGCCCGTTAAGCAGACAAGCATCGGATTTTGTATGAGCGCTGTTACTGATCTACCCATGTTGTCAAGATGAGGCCTATCAACGTGCAGCCAAATTGCTTGGCATGGCCACATCATCTCTGCTAGATGTCGAAGATCTGCCGGGTAAACCTGATGCAAGAACACTGGCTTGGTCGACTTTGAAATTCTGGGGGAGCGTCTTGCAAGGGATCGAGACAAAAGCATTCGCAACACGTTTGGGGAAAACTCTTGACATCTTGGCTGAGTTTCAGAGAGAGTCTCCCGTAACTCCACATTGAATCAAAAGATACTCTCCATCTTGAAGACGAACCTTCAACAGGGCTTTGACACACAAAGTACCCATTTAATCCGTCATAGAGCAACGGATGCCAAGGTCTAATTGATGTCAGGCTGCAACATCGGAGCCCCTCATGGATGATGGGTTCTGAGGAAACAAAGCCCCCGACCCCACTTTGTCGGTGACTTCTCCAAATCGGTGACCCCTTCTCCAAACACCCGATGATTGAGGATGACATCGGGAGTTCAGCAAAGGGCCTACATAAACTACTTAAACCTAACGACGCTGCATCACTGAAAGGATATTTGGCAACCTTGAATTAAAACATAGTTGCCTTCTCCCCGCTTACTAGGTACTACACATTACCTGGAAACGCTCCAAGAGCCTGACAGATTCGACAGTTCTCAGTCGATAGTAGGAGCAAAGCCTTTAGTTTAATTCCTGCGCGTAAGTTTTCGAGATATTATATCACTCACAACTCGTCAGATCTCAATTATTTCATGCGGTCGCGTACCTAAAGCTAGATGCTGACCGTCGAGTGTTTTCACAGAACTTCCACCACACATCCGGAAACATGTCTTCGATCAAGTTCAACACCCCTCCCGGCGCTGGGAAGATCTACGGTGAGGCCTGCCACTACTCTCAGTCCGTGGACCTCGGTAACGGCATCGTCAAATGTGCCGGACAGGGTGGCTGGGATCCGGAGACGGGGGCGCTCGACGCGAACGACACCAAAAGACAGGTTGAGCTGGCAATCGAGAACGTCGACATTGTCCTCAAGGCAGCGGGCCTTCGGGGATGGGAAGATGTCTACTCATTGAGATCATACTCATGCGATATTCGGGCTTCTTTTGATTTTATCGTTCAGGGGTTGAAGGCACGGATTCCAGATCATCGACCTATCTGGACAGCCCTTTCGGTGCCTCACTTGGCCCTTCCAGGGATGTTAGTTGAGCTGGAGGTTGAGGCCAAACGTCAGGCTTAGGTATTCCCACGCGGCGCAATAGAAATATATCTTACTTAACTCATGGGAGCTTAGAGACAGCTCCGGTCAGAAGTACATGTACGGCACCTATTTGCCTGTAAGTACCCCAAACAGCAACATGCAGGTGTCTTCTCACGTATAGTAATACTTGAACGGATAGAATCAATGGTTCTTGGACTCTGTGGCGAGCTTTATTGCATTGATCTATTGTGTCCAATAGTTTTGTCGGCACTTACGAGTTCACGCATGTAGCCCTGCCAATCTACGGGTATTTGAACTTCCTCGGGCGCGAGCTCCACATACTTGACACTTTGACCTATTTTGAAGAGACTGCCAGCATCTCGGAGTGTCATAGGGAGTGTGGCGTAAGGCGTACAACGTAGGGCGCGGGTCACCTCACGTCAAACGCTTTGATCAAAACGTTTAAAGTTTCCGCAGTACACAAGAAAGGCATGGAAAGGGCGAGGTAGGTTAATGAACCTAACATGCTTCTATGAGACTATGAGGAAATTATCGCCGTATGGTAAGCATTCAATGTTCATTCAATTCAATATCAAGATGGAATGTCATACTACGAACACGTCTGAACTCTGCATGGTTTGTAAGCTTGCATTCCTTCGAGAGCAGACTTCGGGGTTCAAGCCTTTGTCGGCATTTGAAGAATCAAGGAGAGAAACTTTGCGCCCTGAGACCGTCGCCGGAACATGGATGAACTTCTGGCCCAAGATCGCTCGAGACTTGGATTGTCCGTCCCAGCCGATCAGTTCTCCAGGCCCGCGCCCTTGGCTTCAGAGAAAGCCTTGCAATCCCAGCCTCCTCTCACAGTTGCAGCCAAAGCTGCTGGGCTGGAGGGTCATTTGCCGCAAAGCTACATCCGCCAAAGAATTGACCTGGTGAAATGGGCCAAGACAGCACAGGTCCAACAGGCCTGGAAGGCCATGGCTGAGAAGCAGGGTCTGGATGCCAGTGCTCCTGACAAGGCTTCCTGGGCTTTCGCGGGCTTTGTGTAGGGAAGAGATTACAATGTTGTACAGAGCACGAGCAGGGCGCGCAAGTTCGGATGGACTGGTCACAAGGATAGTTGGGACAACTTGAAGGGGGTTTGGATATGTTGAGAGAGGCAAAGGTGATTCCCTCTGCCTAAAAATTGGTATGCTCGTTAGAGTGGATACACTGATAAAGATTTGAAACTTCTCATGATGAAGCTTTTCATTTTAGCTCCTCAGAATCATAAGGTCATCCTGGCTTCAACGTCGATCAAGCCAGTCCGGAGCGGTAGAACGGAGATGCGTACTCGGTCGAGGGGTCTCCACTCCATCGGTGAAAGGCTCCGGTTTTGTCTTCTGATTGATATTATCTCAACTTCAATTGCATCCAATAGCCTCAAAAACTTTCGGCTATTACAGACAAAAGTCGCATTGACACGTATTCATTGATGAATGTTGTTTGCTCAGGCTTTGGTTAGATATCGACCACACTATCACTCCTAGAGGTAGTTAGTCCTGGCCATTTTTGGATTCACCCTGCGGAAAGGTGTCTCCGTTGCATAGTACTAGTAGAAGACTCAACCAATTCAGAATGAGAACATACAGGACGGGTTTGTTTTGACTTGGAGCGCGGGGTGTGGGTTGTTATCAAAAGGTAAAACCAATGACTTGAGTGCTTGATTACTTTACGCGGGCTCTCACATCTCACACCATTGAGACCAGTAAGCACGTCATTGTTGGCCTGCCGGTCAACGGCGCAGACAAGGGACAACTGCAGCGGGTACTCCGCTATTGCCACTTGAAATCCTTTGGAAGACTCAGCTATCAGCTTTATTTTCCACCCTAGATCAAGCTGGCATCGGCACAACTCAATGGTTCATACGACTTTAGGCCGGCTTGAGCCAAACTCATCAAGTCTGGACACACCACACCCTCATGCCAGCCACGCGCCCCACGCGCATCCCTTTCTTTGGGTAGACCCCCGCGTCATACTCAGGATGTCGGCCAAGTCCCGGTAGGGTCTTTTCATATGCAGCCACTCCAACCACGAGGTCCCCCAGCAAAAAGAGTCCATTTGGCGATGTCGGATGCTTCCCGACTTCCGGGAATGCTCGGCGGGCGGGACTCTTCCCACAGATACAGGTATGGCTTATGGTTGATTCGCATGGCACAAGTCCGAGATGCTCTGGCGCAATCGCTAGTGAGGTTGGATTTTGACAGGCAGGGGGGGTCTGCAGCCGGCAACGATTCTGCAAATATTTATCGGCCAGACCCAAGGACTTGGATGATCTTGGAATAGAGTTTCTGGTGTTCAACTTGGTTCTCTGAGTCCTTTGAGTCATCTTGAAGATAGTTGAACAAGAACGTGTGTTCACAGGTGTCTGTCGACTATGACGACAGCAGACAATACCGTCCCCAGGAAGAAGTGGTGGAAGATCCAGTGGTACTCGGACGATGACACCCCCGAAGAGCGCAAATTCATCATCAAACTCGACCTCATCGTCGTTCCCTACGCAGTTTTGGCGTACTGGGTCAAGTACATTGGTAAGAGAACAGCCTGTCCCTTTCATCGACCTATCGCCAGCTTGCTAACGCATTCCAATAGATCAAGCAAACTTGAGTACGTCTACGATCGCTACCCCGATTCTTGATGCCATGCTAATCAAACCAGATAATGCCTACGTCGGAGGTATGAAGGAGGAGCTCGGCTTCAAAGGGAACGAGCTCGTTGAACTCCAGACCATGTACACAGTCGGTGCAGTTGTTGGCATGGTGCCCTTCATGTTCTTGTTCACCTACATCCCCATGTACTGGACGATACCCGCCATGGATATCCTTTGGGGTCTCTTCACTCTGCTGCAATACCGAGCAAACTCCTTTGGGGAGCTGGCGGCTTACCGCTTCATGGTAGGCTTCTTCGAAGCAGCTTTCTTCCCCGCCATGCACTACGTATTCGGTAGGAACTATCAGTGTCAGCCCTCTAGTTGAGACATAGAAAGTTAATCTCGACACAGGCTCCTGGTATCGCGGACATGAGATCGCACGACGAGGCGGCATCTTCTACACCGGACTCAATCTCGGCACCCTAACAGCAGGCCTCATCGCAGCCGGAGCATCGCACCGCCTCGAAGGCGTCAACGGAATGGCAGGCTGGCGCTGGATGTATATCATCTGCGCAATCATCACTGTCCCCGTTGGTATTCTTGGATACTTTCTACTCCCTGGCACCGTAGAGCAGCCGAACCGCTGGATCCTCAACGACCACGATATAAAGATTGCAAAGTCTCGCCTCGAGCGCAGTGGGCATGTCACCCGCGGCAAGTTCAAGCTCGGACATCTCAAGCAGATCTTCCTCAGCCCTCAGTTCTGGACTGTTGTGCTCGTCGATGTGCTGTTTTGGAACGCTGGTATCCATAAGAGCACGGGCAGCTTCCTGCTGTGGATCAAGAGCCTGGGCCGCTACAGTCCGGCGCAGGTCAATGAGATGGGGACTATTGCGCCCGCGTTGGGAATCCTCTACAACATTGTGGCGTGCTTCCTGTCTGACTTGGTACTTGGCCCCGCGTGGGCCATTACCTTTTCCTCGCTATGGAATGTCACAGGCCTGATTATGCTCGTGGTCTGGGACGTGCCCGAGGGTGCCAAGTGGTTCGCCTTCTCGACGATGTATTGGTCCAACGCGCTTTCCAGTGTGCTGCATGGCTGGGTCAATACCATCCTCAGAGACTCTCCTGAACAGCGGTCATTCACCCTCGTCATGAACACCATTATTGCCCAGTCATCGACTGCCTGGACACCACTGTTGACGTTCCCGACTGTCGAGTCTCCAAGCTATCCTAAGGGATTCTCATTCTGCCTGGGGTGTGCTGTTGCGCTCATCGTTGCGACGCACGTTCTCGATGTGTATATCAAACGCAGAGAGTAGGTCTCACTTCACAACTTCAGGAGAATAGACAATCTGACATTTGCATATTAGGAAAGCAAAGCATGCGCAGCTCGAAAGCGGTAGCAGCCATGAAGGCAGCTATGTCGATACTCCTGCAGACGCTAGCGGGAAGACAACAAATGCTGAAGTGACGGCAGTGATCAATACTTCAGAAGAGTCCATAGCACGACACTGAACAGACACAACATTGATGAGAGGAAGTCGCCCATGGAGCAATGATACCGTAGATATTAGGTGTTATGACTTCGCATCTAGTCGTGGGATATGAGTGCATCATTATGGTAATAAATTGACATTCATGAAGCATGCATATAGAGATTGTTGTTGTCGATAGCTCCCGAAAAAGTGAGTTTACCACCCGCTCTTGAGCCATTGTGATTCTTCGCTGTAGGAACGCGCTCTCGACATTGATGGGTCCAAAGGGTTATAGTGTCTTGCAACTTCATGGTCGAGGTGTTCATGGCGATGTACGGTGGTGGCAGGCTCCTCAACTTCCCCCCATCCCCAGTTGTTGTCCTAAGACTCCTAGACTGCGGCGCGTAGCGTTGAGTGCAAGGCTGAGGTATTTCAGGTGAACAATCCGCAACGCTTGCCAGGGCAGCCACCATCCACATCACCAACGTCGCACCTTCCTCAGGTTTACCCAGCCACATCACAAACTTTTCATCCGATGACCTTTGCTTACTACCTTAATACAACAAGCCCTCAGATACCCCTCCAACACAATTCTTGTCACCAGCACAGCAGCCGCCTCCTAGGCCGGGGGTCAGGTCAAACTGTGACGTGGTGGTGGAATGTTTAGTGGTCAACATCAATTATCTTCGCAAACCAGCCTACTATACGACAGGCTTAGCGACCGAGTTCCGATCCTAGCATGAGCACCAAAAAATATAGCCCTCAGTCCAGCACCGGTGGGGTGAACTCTTTTGCCTTTTTGACCTTTTGGTTTTTCAATAGAAAGCTTCTTGGAAGGCTCTCAACACCTTAAATCAATATGCCACGAAACTGCAAGTGTCAGAATCCCAAAGCAGAACCAAGCCAGCCTTAGTCGGCCGTCTCGGCGCCGAATAAACGGGGCCGGAATACTCAGGCTCCAAGGCAAGATCCCTTGTGAAGGACTTTCAATTCTATCAACTCAAGTCTTCAATATTCACAACGGTTTCTTTTAACGTTGAAGAAGATTTAAAACATTTACTCCAGACAATTGAACCACCAACCTTTGTCTGAAGTTATGTCTTTAAGCAGACATCAATCATGTCGCAAGCCTCATCCCATGCCACTCACCCTATCGTATTCCCAGTAAGCAAGTGAACGTGAACAAGACATGTTGAGGCTTGTAAACCCATGTTGAATAATTACTTCTAGACACTATGAGCAATCCCGTGATCAGGGAAAAAACTGGGGAAAGTGACAACTTTTTTGTCGCACGACAAAAAGGTTGTGTGCTCACTGCAGTCAAGGCCAGAGTTGGGATAAACAAAGAGGTGTTTCAAGCACTTTTGGTCTACCTCTCTATCACCTTGAGAGCGTGACCAGGTCGCATGACCAGCGTACTGAGACGATCGCGCCGAATTGATACCGCCAGTGCCGAATCTCAAGACCGCGGGGAATTGTGGGGTTAGTGCCGGCTTACGGGTCGGGAGGTCCACCAGGTGCCGGCCCAGTGACCGGGAGCTGCTGACATGCACTGTCATGAAGCAAGATGCTCTTTGGTAATGAGAAGTCGACTACATGAATCATGAGGCTTTTCCCATGACGCGCTTTGTCTGAATTTTCTCAATCCTCAGATTCTTCCATCCCTTTTTTTTTTCTTCTATTGCAACCCTATGTAGATGCCACGCACGCGTCCAGTCCAATCCGCTCATCCACACACTCACCCACACCAAAAGAGATTTCCCCTTCAGGATCACGGTCCCCCCTTGCACTTTTAACCCCAACCAATCAGACTCCGAATCGCATCCAACCTAGGGAGTTATTCGCATTGGCTTAGGCGCCTCACCCGCACTAAAGCCGTGTTGGCAAGGTGCCATCGAGCCTTTTTCACATGCCCTTTTAATCCCCTAATGTGGACGAATGGCCAGTCAGAGAAGAACTCTTCGGGCTGGCTGATTGATGTGTTCCCTGAAACTGGCCTTGTTTGAACACAAGTAATGTCAGGTGCAAAGAGGGTTATGCCCATGAACCCCATCTTTCCCCCTTTTCCCAGGAGGAAGAGTGACTGGCTAAGACACTGGGCCTGTCAAAAGCGCAGCTGTCCACATTTGCTACCTCGTGCAGTCTTTTGGAGCCTGCAACGTCACCTTTCCAACATCAAGCACTTGGTCTATCGCGCCAAACATGACAAGGAGTAAAAGGGGGGCAACAACTAATGTGCGCTGTGCAGGTGTCTAGATCTTGCAGCTTACTAGACTGATTTGCACAACTGCCGCTAGCGCGGTGGCGTTCAGGTACCGCCATTCCCATATGTCCTCGCTGGGCCCGTCGCACAAAGGTCACCAATATCTCTCGCCTGATGTCTCTCCGTAGTCTTGGGGTCCTTCTGCAAAATCACTGGACGTGACGAAAACAATATCCCGCTTGGCGACGGATCCACCTCCAAGACCCCAAGACCGTAGACGGGAAAGGACATGGAGTCAACATGACAATAGCAAAGGTCTGCGGAAGCGAAGCAGGCCCAGACCTTGGAACCATCCGCGGGTTCCTGGGGGTTTCCTCTGCCATGGACCAGGGAGGGCGGCCGAATGCCACTTCCCGCGTGGCCGTCGCCAGGGTCAGTATGTCGAGCCCACAACCAACCACAACCGCAAGAAACGCCTTGGGGCCGCGCCGCTGGTACCGATCCCTTTACATCCCCGTGGCCCCCTTCCCTCCGTCCGCGGGGCACTTTTTGAAGCCTTGCCATCTTCCGTCGCCGATTGGCAGATGCCCGAGATGAAACGAAGCCTCTCCCGAGGGGGGGCCAGATGGTAAAAAGCCACCCCAGTCCCCCCGGTGTTTCCTAGAACAGGGACATTCTCGGTACATTTGGTCCTTCTTGTCTTCTATTGGCCACCATTAAAGAGCCTTAATCTTTCTTTTCTCCCCAAACTACATGTATGCATGTTTGTCGAGCCAGCCACAAGCCTCTGCGCTCCGCTTATGCGCCAGCCTCACCTCGGAATATTGGCCTTGCCAACCGCGATTGACAGACTGACCGGGCCGTGATCGTGCACAGTTGAGCGCAAGGGAGACACTACCGTCCGAGATATTGGAGCCACCGAGGATGTGGATGTGTGTCCCGCGGCGGACTATGTCTCAGAGGAGCACGCTTCCTCCGTCCATCGCTTTAACACCGCGTGGTGCATCCATTCTCGTGGGCTTGGAGCACGGTCTTTGATGCGAGTAGCGGGACGTACATGTGCCATCTGATCTTCTAGACCGGACACCCAAATCCGACTTTCCCTACCCTGTGCAACACTAGACGACGGAGAGAGCACAGGGGGTAAGCATATATGAACCAGACTACCATCCACCCTCCTTGAGACCTCCGTTCTCTGCTGAAGATTGGACGCAGCTCTGAGACCTGGGGACTCTTTTCATTAAACAGGAAAGAAAAAAGGGACAACTCGCCTCCCCGTAACCCACTTGGCAGCAGTGACTACGGCTCAGTACCAATGCGCTGTGCAGATGCAGGTTCTAGATTCAACATGCGGGTTGCTCCCGCCGTTGATGTGGCCCTGCCGCCCTTCTTTGTTGCAAGGGCTGGGCAGAAGAGAACCCTTGGTCCTTGGCCGACGCGGCACGCATCGTTCAATGTTACATCTGCATGCCCACACTTGGACTTCCTTCCCATTGTATATATACAGTAAGTCCCATGATGAATGCTTCCCGTTCTGTCCCCATGGTCCTTCAACCCGCTGCTCGTGCGACCACCCCCCGACGATAACATCCACCATCGTGATCTTGTGCCCCTCCCCAAGACATGCCTTTCCTTTCCGAATAGCTACAGTCTCTCTCTCCTCTTATAAACCTTCCTCATCACAGTCCTTTCAGTTTCACTTTGGATAAGTAGTTTGCTTCAAACTCTATTCACTCCTTGGAGCTACTTTTTGCAAAATCAGACTCCCAGAACACCAACTACAGTCCTTAGCTCCAAGAGCTTTGCATCATCGCAACAATGTACTCAAAGTCCATCCTGTCAAACCTTCTCCTCCTCCTCCTCCTCCCAGCCGCTACCCAGGCCTGGGACTCTCCAAACTACTCCGGCCTCACCCGCCTTTGGCAAGACAGCTTCCCCGGCGCCTCAGGCGACCCCATCAACACCGGCAACTGGAACATCATCACCAACCTCCACGTCAACAACGAGATCCAGGAATACACAACTTCCCGCTCCAACCTTCAAATCTCAGGTGGCGGCACCGTCCAAATCGTTCCCCAAAAGGACGGCAACGGCGCCTGGACCTCGGGCCGCATCGAATCCCGCTACGTCTTCACCCCCGCCGCCGGCCGCCTCACCGTCGCCGAGGCCCAGATCCGCTTCGGAGACAACGCCATTGCCAACAAGAAGGGCATCTGGCCCGCCTTCTGGATTCTCGGCGACGCCATCCGCAACGGCGTCAGCTGGCCTCGCTGCGGCGAGCTCGATATCCTCGAGACGGTCAACGGGCAGCTGACGGGGTACGGGACAGTCCACTGCGATATCCTGCCTGGCGGCGCGTGCAACGAGCCCAACGGCATCGGCGGAAACATTGGCATCCCGGACCAAGGGTGGCACACATGGCGTCTGCAGATTGATCGTCGGTCCGGCAACTGGCAGACAGAGACGATTACTTGGTTTCGTGACGGGCAGCAGTTTCACCAGATCAGCGGTGCCAGGATTGGGAGTGAGGGTATCTGGAACACTCTGGCTCGCGCGCCATTGTTCTTCATCTTGAATGTTGCCGTCGGAGGTAACTGGGTAAGTCGATGCCTTCGTAAAATTTGTATAAAGACCGTTTGACTGACTGTTTACAGCCCGGAAACCCGGATGGCTCTACCATTGGAGGCTGGGGAAGCATGATGGAGACTGCCTATGTTGCCGTCTATCAGTCCACTTAATCTCGCCCTTCATCAGTTGGGCCCTTGAACCCATCTCGAATATCGTCTTGTTGCTGCTCCTGCAGCTACGCTGTTCGCTGTACATATGCAACCAGCATACTTAGATACCCCTTGTCATTTTGATGACATATGCACACACCCACACTCGCTAGATAATCTCCATAATCGCAAAGTCAATATCAATCATCATACCATCTGCATGGCTTTTCTAGATAGTTCCTTGCCTAGCTTCATTTGACTTGTACATATAATATTCATGGCTCATAACAACTTATCTCTCCTGACCTAGATACTTTGGGTCCTGTAATTGACCTATAAGTAATCTATCTACCTACTGGAGGTACAACGGCAAACGTGTCCGTGCTCCGATGAAAGGTCTCTACTCATAAAATACCAGGCATCTAACCTCTATGCTTTGTCTTCCCTTAGCATCTGCGGGGGTGTTGGGGTCAACAAAGGCCGTGTGAGGCGTGTAGTCGGCCCGTCCCGGCTTGCCGCCAGGCTGGCCCTGACTCCTCGAGTCGAAGCACTTGATGAACATGGCTTCATCAGGGGTCATGTCTTTGGCGTAGTACAGCTTGTGCTTGTCGCTTGGTGCAACAGAGAAAGTCTCGCCTAAGATGCTGTTAGCAAAGAAACACACTTGTTATGAAATCGGCCGGGTTGTACTCACCCTTGACATCGTAATTCTCCGTCGACCGCGCCAAAGCCGGATCGGGAAGCACTTCCTTGCCCCGATCGTCGTCGTCGGTATCCGTCCGTCTGGGGTACAGCAGATCCACAGCAATCAGATCTTTGGGCTCCGTCGTCCGCCAGTCAATCACCGCAAGCGGAAAATCACTCGCCGGGTGCCCAATCGGTCTCCAGACGTTGATAATCTGGTACCGTCCCTTGACCAGCTCATCCGCCTCACTCCCCGGAACATGCCTCCTCACGCGAGCTTCTGCCGCACCGGGCGTCTGGTCAACATGCACCTGCTGCACCGGCTGTCTGGGGCTGTTCTTCTCCCTCCTCCGAATCGTGTGGTCGAAGATCACAACCTTCTTCACGCCGGGCAGCTTATCCCGCAAGAGGGACTCAACTTCAGCATAGTAGCCGCTCCGCACCGCGTTGTCGTCGGTGAAGTCCTTCTCTTTGGCCGGAGAGTTGTACACGGCGAACCCGGAAACGTCGGTGCCGAACTCTTCCGCCGACTCGCGGATGTTGACTACCGACCGACGGCGCTCGAGCCGGCTGAAGGAGGTTACATCAGTATCGACCTTAGCCCAGGGCTTGCTGTCGTACAGAGTCGCCGGGTCCAGATAGCGAAAGTTGCCGGTGGTCATTGTTGCGAGGGTTCTCCTTTGGATGATGCGGGGAACGTTGTTGGTTCTAAGACTGGGTTTGACAGATGTGAGAATTGGTAATCGACGTAAGATTGTGCTCATAATAGTACCTTTAAACAATGTCAAATTGCAGGTCTGATATTGAAATACACAATGCCGTGCGGGGGACAGGGGGACAGAAGTTTTAAAGCAGCACTCGAAGGGCGTAGGGGACGCACGAATGAGACGACTGGATGATTGCATCACCACGCAACCCTCGGCAGTGGCTCATTAGTCATCCAGTATTTCTAAGCCGTTTCTCGCAGTGTCCGTGACCCACACCCGGGCTCGGCATTGATTAGGGCCCCTTGATTTCCAATCGCCGACATTCCGCGATCCGAATTGTTGCCGTCCCGAATGACATGCTCCAATCCCGCGGGGTATGCACCGCTCGACAGCGGGAGGATCAGCATGCGTACGGCGTTTAGATCAACTGCCCGATCTGCCACCCAACCGTCAGCGGCGTTCTGATTTACGCCGAACAGTACAACTTCAAACAGCGCAAAGCGAATGCGTCTTGAACTTCAACTTCAGGATCATAGAGTAAGCTATTCATTACTAACAATGGGCACATCATTTCGTCTATGACTTTCAAGTGACTAGAGAGTTCGGTCAATCAAGCTAGTCAAGTGGCGGGTAAAGTTATCGGGAGAAAACCGGGTTGGATGGGAAGACATGATATTGCTGCCATCGCAAAAAGTCCAAAAGAAATCCCACCTGGGCAGGTACTACTCACTTCCGAAACCGAGAATCGAACTCGGGGCTATGCCTAACCTCTCACAGGATGAGAGGGCATCATGTTGGCCACTACACCATATCGGATGTTGTTGAGTTTTCAAGGCTAGCAATGAGCAAATGGACCGATTGATGCTGTGCGTATCCACAGCGGAGACGCAATCATTCCGGCTACCTTACCCTAACGACTCTGCAAGGTCTTGATACATGTAGCTACGAGTACCAATGATAGCAGATCATCCAAGAACCCTGCTAGGCCGTATCGCAAAGAACTGGCGAGGAGAATTTGTATTGACATAAATCGTAAAAGTATGAAAGAACCGCATTGTTTTTGTCTGCATGTATTCACACGTACCCGGTGTCACTATGCTTACAACAAGACCTCACTCACCTGAGAGCAAACCAGAGTGCCATCCATAGGCTTTGCAGACTGTTGCATCTCAATACACAACAGACCATTTCACATGCCCCGAGTCCTCCCGCCTGCTGATCCTAACTCTTAATTCTGGACCGGGCTCTGGCCTCCCTATACCAGTCGTTGCCCAGGGGACCTTTGCTTTTGGCACCCGAATAGGCCCGTCGTCTATACTCTTGAGGTCAACGTTGAGTATCAATTGCGCAGCAATGCCTAGAAGAAGACCATTTGCAAGATGACGGCCGGGGCTATCACACGAACGGTCAGTATGGCTCACCCACCAGAGAGAAACCATTCACATACCAAATATGCTTGCCTCCTCCAAAGGGGAGAAAACCAGGCGGTGATGATGTATTGTAGCCCAAGTTCAGAAATCGGTCGCCTTGCCAACTTTCAGGTTTGTCTCCCCATACTTTCGCGTCGCTATGGAGAATGCTGAGTGGCATCTGGACGTTGTTTCCTTTCTTGAGGAGGTACGAGCGGTCGTCGTCTGATATTGTCGTGTCTGTCATGACCGTTCGGGTGATGTTGTCAACAATGTTATACCGCTCTGTCTCTTGCGCGGACGACAGCAGTAGTGGGCAGTGCTCCTTTAGGTTCCCCAGATGAAGCGTCATCTCGACCCCGTTCTCATCAGTTTGGTTCTCGGTAACCGCTCCACTAAGAAGCTCGAGTCGAATCTTGGCCAAAAGAGCTGGCTGACTGTAAATATTTGACAGAAGCCAGAAGACTAGTGTAGATATGTTGGCGAGAGCGGTAGCTAGAAGGATCTCAATCTTGGCGCTGTTATGGACGGACATTCCGAACTTCCGTTCTGCGCCGAATCTGTCCCTAGTAAAGAGAGGGACTTCGGCACCAAAGTCCTCTTCGCGTCTGATGTATGACTCCAACGCTTCAATGACCTCGTTTCTCGCTTTGAAAGCCTTGGAGGCGATGACAGAGGGGGCCACTCCGGGGAAAAGTCTGTACATATCATCATGATAGACCCTACATGTTGAGTATCAGTACAGCTTCTTCAGTCAGGGTACATACACCAGACGTGATGATGAAGCAGAAGCGCAGAAGGCGCCTACTTACCAAAAGCTTCTCATCACAGCACTGTCTTCCCAAGGACTCAACTTCCCATAAAAGCCCCCCATTATGGCCTTCGACACTGTCTCTCGCGTCCAGCAATGGAGGTCTTTCGAGTCGAACTGGTCGAGCGGCTTTTTGTTGAGGAAACTAGCTAAATGGCTGACCCCGGATGTCGTTAAATCATTCAAGGAAGGCCCAGTAAGTCCTTTGTAGAGAACTTTAAAGATGGCGGTACGAAATTCCGGGTTCGTCCACAACTCCATCCCATGGCCTTCCATGCCTACCAAAGTTCGCACAAAGGTGTCAATCAGGGGCTCGAAGCTGAGGGTCCGTTTCTGAAAGATTGACGATGCCAATTGCGGTGAAGATGCTACGTAAAGCTTTCTTCCAAGAATGGGCAGCGAGTATGCCGTCATGTTGAACTTCTCACTAGGTAGTAACTTGTCAGCCCACTATGCAGGTGTACCTTAGTTGCTCGTCCAGCTTGATCATTTGCTGAACTTTCGGGCTGAATGGCCTAAGAGTCAAGACTTACTGGTTCTTGACATGCTGGTTGTATCCCATCTGAATTAGATCAATCAAATGACCTATGAGAGGTATCTTTGGCCGTAGAGTAGGGGGCTCTCGCAAGCCTAGGACTGTCGGCCAGAGAACCCTGCGGACAAGGAATATGGCCAGGCAACAGACCACAGGAAACCATATTATTAGGATTTCGTACAACGTACTTGTTAGCATTTTGAATGGGGTTGTTCCTCTGATTCCGTTCCCTCAACTTCGGCTGTGCATTCGAGTCACCAGGCATTCGAGAGCAAATTTTAACGTTCTCTTCCGGCTTCTTATGCTCTTCTTCGGGCCCATTGACGCATGCAGCATATGATTCCGTTACCATCAGCTGCATCAAATTTGGAATTGACTCCGCCACGCCTAATTGTCATTGCATTATTGTAACAGTCTCACGTTTCTAACTGCATTGCACTAAACCTCCTCCTGGAGACGTACGTCGAGCTGCAGCGCTAACGTACAGTAAGCAAGCAGTATCGTCGTGAAAGACTACAAGCACCAATCAGGTCAGCAACTAACTTGCAGGTGAGTCGAGATGAAAACCGGTTCGGTACTAGCAAAGTGAAATGATAGACGTGCGGCATGGTGGACGTGAGATTATGTGGTGAGCTTTTAGTACAAGTGTTGACTTAAGTTCTACCTGAGTATCCGTGATTATGGTCAAGACAAGCGAGGTCTCATTGGACGGTAAGTTAAACTCCCTGGCCCTCGGGTGTTGCTGACAACAGGGGCCAGCCTTCAGTTACATCGCTTGTATTACTATCACACAGATACATGCTTGAGGCCTTGAGAGTAAGTCCACGCGTTCTGCATGTGAGACTCTGAGATGATCCAGTATATGCGAGATTAAAGAAAACTCTTATTGCTTTAGTTCTGGACGGTTGTAGTAAGAAGGATCGAGTAAATTCTATTGTTATTGGGCACCAACCGAGGTATCAGGACATGTTTCGACTACAATGCGCTTTATCTTACGTGGACTAAAGCTCAATTAAATCGACACTGGCAAAACAGTATTAAAGAGCATGTTTCTCTTTCGTTTTGAGAGGCAAAAATTCAAAAATGTGACCAACGTGGGGCTCGAACCCACAACCCCCAGATAACCACATCTCCGGAGAAGAGAAGGTAGAAGTCTGATGCGCTACCATTGCGCCAGCCGGCCAGATGCTGTGATGACGTTTGTGGGAAAAGCTACGTCCATATTTCCCTAGCCAGCGGGGTCGCGCAAAAAAGCGCTCCCTGACTCGCTTTGCCCATGGTGGCGCACATCAAAGCAAACACCAGATTTTGCAAGGACACACGTCGTTCACCGGCTGGTGGGGTCCTGACGCAATGATTCGCTACTGGGATCAATGCTGCATCTGATTTTTCGAGTGTTTGCATACAAATTTCTTCTTTCTGTCGGCGTCCCGCACCCGCTGCTCACATCAAGGCACACAAAAGCACACCAAGGAAAACCCAAATTTCAGACCCCCCCCGGTGGCGATCCATCGGAGAATGGGGTCGGGCGCGGTTGGAGGAAAACTCACAGAAAGTGTTGGAGCTAGTGATGGGGCAAGCGGGTTCGATGTGGGCATCGGTTCGAGGCAATCTTCAATGAATGAATGAGAGAAAAGTCTTCCGCAAAATTCTTTCTTCTACGGTACCTTGAGTGCTGACGGCCGCTTCCAAGGAACATGAAGCAAGCGTAACAGCCCAGGTAGACATGCATAGACGCCGAAACTGTGACGAGCCTCCACTCTTCCGTCTTACACGGAGGAGCATCCAGGAAGTCGGTAGACAGAAACATGGACTCTGCCAACTGCTCATGAGACCTCAGAACATGAACGATACACTCTGAGCAGGCACGGAGCTCCACCAAGCGTGCCGATATTCATCACTCAGTGCCGCCGGCCAGGTGATAGCACGCCGAGCACGCCTTGGACCTGCCCATCCGTTCTTCGCTCTTCAAGTTCGGTGTTTGCAAGTCCAGCCAGGCGTGTCAGGCCCGCGCCTGGGCAAGTCATCCCGCCTTCCGGGAGCGCCTCCGGCCAGCTCCATCAATCACGTAAGAAAAACCACCTCTTCCGTCGTCCGCAACTTGCCTCTGCCACCCCGGGGGCGCCCTCCAACACACCCCTCCTCCCTCCCTCCCTCTGGATCCGGGTGTCACCGATCCCGACAAGCCCTGGAGCGCGCTCTCTCAGGCTCTACCTCCTAGGCTCCTACGGCTCCTTTCGCACATTCGCATCTTGCGAGACGCCCCATGAACCATCCCAAAACGGGCCGGCTCCGATGTTCGCACACCGTCCTTCTGACACGGCTCTCGCATGACTTTCGGCCTGGGTTGACCCATAGAAAAGGCACCTAGCCAACACTGATGATTGCCTTCTGAGCCCGCCTCCTGCCCCTACCTACCGGATTGTCATCCGAAGGTGCGTGGGCGGGCTGGCCACGACACACCCGGGCCGGCGCGCCGGTTACACATCACCACCCCCTTCTCCTGTACCCTATACCGGCTCACATCACACAGCGCACGGGAAACCGCCCACCGCCCACCGTCCACCGGGGGGCGCTTAAGAGCTCCTCCGCACACACCGCACTATCGTGAGATGACCTTGGAAGTTGAATCATCCATTTCGAGACTATCATGGCGCCATCAAACACGGGGCGGGCGTGAGCTGCCCTCCCCAGCGACGTGGCACTGCTGCTCCGGGGAAACATGCCGAGCAGGGAATCACTTTCCGTTTCGACTGCCTACGTAGTAATATTATGCGTGCGAGTGAGCAAGTTTAGGAGACTCAGAGCAGGGCATTTACAACCCGGCAAGCCGCAACCCAACTCTGTAGACCGTAAACTCACGATACTCACAAGTGCTACCGCCCCGGTGCTCAATGTCCCGATCAGACCCTTCACTAAAGCACTCCAAAGCTCAGATCAAGCGCTCGCCAAGGATATTCGCCGTACACCAGCGGGCGTTCTAGACTCCCTGAAATTCAAATTCCCGTCCCAAAATTTCTCCAACTCACCACCCCAACAGGCCCAACTAGTAGTTTTCGTCAAGTAATTGTTGGCTAAGATTAACTCAATAGCCTCAAGCTCGGGACATTCCCGTCCCAAAAAACCTTGCATTTGAGTGAGTCTTGCAGCATCCGCAGCGGGTAAACGCAATGCGAAGACAAAACTAGCAACAGAAAACGTGGGATGAGCCGCAAGGAAGTAGTGTACACATCGGACAAGTACCTGCCAACAGCCTATAATTATCAAGGGTCGTGACTCGGAGGGGATTCCACATGTTACCATCCCACGCGTCGTGGGTCGCATAGTCTGTGGTTTCATTGGTGAGGGGGATATTTTGTTTAAAGTTGTCTGGTAGAAACACAGCGGCACATTTTGCCGCTGAAGCGCACTCAAAGCATCAAGTCTGAGTAACTAAGTCATTCACAAAGTCATTTCCAACAAGTCACGTTGAAAGATGCACGGGAGTTGCAAAGTAATTTTGTAGTGATTTGTGTACTAAATTCTTGCGTCAACTGTATGTTTTCTCTTCGAGCTAGCTACTGAGAAGCCATATGACGGGAACCTCGGCATCATCAATGATGTGCCTCTACCATCAGCTCTGTTCAAAGTCCCCGTAAAACGCCTCGCAATGCAGAACACTTTCTCATGGTCATTTCACACAATGCCATGTATCTCTTCAAAAAGTCCATAGTAAAAATCCAACTGAGTTGTGACAATGTTTTCCCGCCAAAAAAAGTTATAATCCTATAAGAAAACAAGCGCCCGGTTCGTGAACCAGGGGGTATAATGCGGTTGAAGACAAGCAAATCCTAATTTCAATAACTTTTTGTTTTCCCATTCGTCCCGTCTCTTGAATTATTGTAATTGTTTTTTTTTTGTGTTGATTATTCTTCATGACTCTCATCTTCTAGTGGTGGTGTCATGATGTGGTAGAGCCGCCGGTAACGGACCCCTCCCGGCTATGCGCTAGGCCGTTGTGTGCTCGGCCATCAAGGTGCTCGAGGCTCATGTAGTCGACGGGAGCCGATTCGTCGGGGTACGCGGGCGGCGAGGGAGGAACGTCCTGGTAGACGGGCGGCGCCTCATTATCCCAGCTGACGCCGAGACCGGGGCACTCGGTGAGCATCACGTGGTAGTGCATCCTCAAGATGCGACCGGTGCCCGTCTGCGTCGCGAGGTGGGGCTTGCCGACGGGCGCCCACTCCTTGGAGACGACCATCTCGATCATGAGTGCGTGGGAGACCTCGGTACCGTCGCTCGACTTCATATCGCAGGCGTATCGCGGACCGTGGCTGTGCTTGCTGGCGACGACGCCGTAGTCGAACTCGAACTCGACGTGGCCGTCGGTGCTGGTGTAGTCTGACTTCCAGCCGTCGTGCATGTACTTCTCGCCGAGGACGCGGGTCTCGGTGCGGGCCACGCCCTTTTGCTGAGGCTGCGTGGTGTTGTTGGTGTTGCCGGGGACCGGGGCGTGCTTCTCGCAGGCCGGGGCCACGGTCTTGATGGTCTCTTCGAGCTTCCACGTAACCTTCTTGAGCTTCCAGAACTCGACAGTCTTGTTGGTGGCGTTTGCGCTGGTGAGGCCGTCGAGGCGGAACGAGACGTTGTGGGTGCCGGCAGGGTGGATCACCTGGTTGTAGTGGGCGCTGGCCTTGATGTTGGTGGGGGGAAAGACGCGAACCGAGTGGTGCGGGAACTCGGGCTGGGGGAGGGAGCGCTTGACGTCGAAGTTCTGCTCAAACTTGATGGGCGTCTGGGAGCCGGGCGTGCCCTTGACGAGGGTGGCCTCGGCCTTGAACTCGTAGGCGATGGAGGTGATGGGCGTGTCCATGGACGCGGGGAGGTGGCCCTCGAGGAGGATGGAGAAGGGGAACTGGTGGACGCCCTTCTTAAGCGTGGTGGGGTGTGTGAGGAACGTCCAGCGCTTCAGCTCGGTGTACTGGTTGGTGCACTCGCCGCAGTGGTTGGTGAAAGGGCGCTTCTGTTGGACGTGGATGTTGAGCTTGGCGCCAAAGGCCTCGACCTGCAGCTGCTCGTCCTTGACCTCGAGCTGCATCTGGCCAGAGACGAGGGCGCCGGAGGAGGACTCGGCATCACCAAAGAAGACGATGGGCGGGCTCTCGATCTTCAAGTCGAGGCCTGCGTGGGAGTTGTCGTGCGAGTCCTTGTTGGAGCGGCCAAAAGGCAGAGAGAGGCGGTGGTGGTGGTGCTTCTTCTCCTTGAGGTGGTCTGCGGGATCTGCTGCGAACATGTTGTGGTAAGGGATGTGCTCGCCGTCATCGGAGGAGTAGGAAGAGTGGCGGTCGAGAGGTACTCTGCGCAACAGGCCTTCGTCCTGAACGTTGTTGTGACGGGGTTGATGATGTTGTTGGTGTTGCTTGCTCTTCGTCTTGAGGTTTGCAATGGCAGAAACACTGAAGTTCTCAGTGGAATTCCGCAGGAAGTTTGCTACGCGGTGGGGCATGATTGGGTGCGGTGTGTGGTGCGTTCCCCGGATTTCGAGGGCTTGCTGAATCTTGGAATGTTCGGTTGCGGCCCTCAGGTCTTCTTTTGTAAATCTTGGCTGGCTAAGATGGGCCAACAAGATGGACAGGGGTTAAAGGGGGTGAGGGGGGGCGGATGAACCGCAAAATAAGGGAGGTGGTGTGACGTTTTTAGACGTAGGGTCGTCCAAGAGGATAATGGGTTCCGTTAGAAATTTTTGGAACCCAAAAAGGACAAAAACAGTCGATTCGCCGGATCCCGAAGGATAGGCGAGGTTGATGCGGGCGCGCGCAGGATCTTTTGGGCGGGCGTGTGGTGGTAAGGGTGTAAGGCGCGAGGCCGAGGGCGAGCGGCGGTGTGTGTGTGTGTATAAGTGCGCGTTGATGAGCTGATGGGCGGGATACGGCAGGTCTGCTGATGTTCCCTGACTGACTGATGAGTGATGTGTGGTATGGGTCTGATGGGCAGCCTAGACGATGATGTGTCTGGGGGCCCTTTTCTCTTTGTACTTGGACAGAGACTTGGAAATTGAGAGAAGGGAGAGAGAGAGAGTGGAGCGCGATGACTTGTTTTCTCTCGCTATTCTCGAATCCTTGCAAGAAAGGCCCAGGTGATGTGGGTGGTAGGAGCACAAGGTCTAATTCTCGTTCTGTCCTTTGCCCGTTTTGGTTTTTCTCTCTTTATGGCGTCGAACAGCCAAGAACGAAGCTTGTTTGGGCTGGGTTGCGGTGGTGGTGGACGGGATCTACTTCCGCTATGCGCGCTGAGAGGAAGAAAGATGGGATAAAAGCGACCAAAGCGATGGATGATAGTATGGTGCGGGGTGTGGGAGAGCAGATGATGTCGTCCCTTTTCGTTCTCTCGTTCGCAATAGGCGTGGAAGAGGCGAGGTTGGCTTTAAGAAAAAACCAAGTGTCTTGCAGTCTCGGGTTGATCGAAGTCGAGATCGTAGAGTGGAGGGGTATGGGAAATGAACAAACGCAGGCTTTTTGCGATTGCGATGACTCCTTCTCTTGTGAATTTCCCTTTTTGGTTTTCCCGTTCCTTCGTGTAAGTCGTTTGTCGACCGGGGTGGTAGGTAGGGCGCAGGAAAAGTGTGCTAATGTGGGATGGATGCAGCTGCAGCGTTGCGCTTAACGGCGGGCTTTTCGGGTGAGATGAGATGCAGAGTGCGGAGGAGGCAAAAGTGGCCGGGGTTCTCCAGAAAGATTGCAAGAATTCCTTTCGGCTTCTCGAACGAAAGGTATCGTGAGGGTATCGTCAAGTTGGAGATGTCAACGAGAGAGATCAGGGGAAAACTAGGTCACGGTGGTAGTAGACTCTTGTAATAGCAGCCTCTTATTACGCAAGATGTGAAGCAGGACCGTCGCGTTATTATGTCTTGCTAGCTCGTGATGGTCAAGCTTTTCATAGGGTAATTATGTGTCATGAGTTGGAAGGGTACCTGGCGACACATGCTCCGCTCCAGCGTTTTAACACGGCCCAGCCAGCGCGGCATCGTGTACATCAGCTATTCATCAGACACCCACATGGGAACTGTGACTGATCGAGACGCAGTTCTGTTACTGGAAGTGGACGCGGATCCAGCAGAGAGGTGTGTGAATCAACCAAGGATGGGAAGAAAGAAAAAAAAAGTGTGAAAAAAAAGAGCCTGGACCATCTCCACCAGATGGGTCCATTGCGCGAAGTACCTGCTCCAGTTTGTTCCAAGCGCAGCTGTACATTGCGCCAACTGACACTTCCCGAACATGACCAACACCAACCAGTGACTGAGCCCACCAGCTCCCTTCGACTGGCTGAGAAGGACGGATGCTGGCCCGAGCTGGTTCATTGTTGCAACTTTTGCAAGGCATGGCGTAGCCTGCCATGGCATGGGTCGAGTTCCTTGGTGGCCGCCTGACCATGCGCCTGGCTCCAAAGTCGCAACCTCCCTTCTCAGCCATGACACTGAGAAATGGTCCTGGCGGGCCCACGTGTAGGTACGTAGGGCATCCGTAAGTTGTATTCTATTCCTAGGAAGTTGGAAACTAACCTCAAGTTTGAGGGCCGTCCACCGCAAGGGACGGCGCTGTTTGGGAGGAGATGCCGCCGCTTGATCGCGGTCCTGTAGCGCGGCGGTCAGGTAAACTCGGTACGTATATCTCATCCCGGAGCACCATCGCCGGAACCTGGGCAGAGAGCCATCAAAGAGCCAAGACAACCTGGACAAGAGACAGACGGTAGGGTACTTGTAATAGTGGTACTGTACAGTGAGTACCTGACCGCTACAGGGAACAACCAGCCTCAGCTTTCATTCTCCCTCACGCCGCCATCACGATTTGCGAACCCTTGAGGTCGTGCTCGGCAGTCCACAATGGCGCAAGCCCAGGGGCACGGCGTCGTACTGGATGATGCAACGGAGGGGAAACCAATTCTTGATGCGTCCACAAGCCAGACACGTGTAGCAGCAGTAGCAGCAAGAGGAAACAGACGCAATGGAGACAAAGGGGTTCGCAGTTACAGCTAGTTACAGGCTTACAAGTTACAGCACATCAGCTAACATGTGGATGGCATCATGCTGCT